AGACCGGAAAAAAACCTCTCGGACAAAGGAGAGAACAACAAACTCAACCCACATATGGCGTTGATGCCGGGATTTGCACCCGGGCCAAATTGGTGGGAGGTGAGCGCTCTCACCACTATGCCATCCCTTGCTCCCCCAAAAACTGAGGGGCTTGTATCCAAGGAAGAGGAACTTGAGGGGCTTATATCCAAGGAAGCCAAACTGAGGGGCTTATATCCAAGGAAGCAGCTAGCTTCAAACTAGAATAGAAAAAGTGCTTCGAAACAAGCTATAGTAGGGCTGATCAAAATACGTTTTGCATTTACTGGTTTTTAATTAAGCTTCAAAACATCATAAATTAAATTCAATTGAATACATTTGGAGGGGGGCTTATCTGTGGGGGGGGGAGGGGAAGGCTTATGTTTGGATATATTAATTTTTCTGTTTGAAGTTACAAATGAGCCCATAACTGGGGGAGCTTATAAGCAGCAGTCTACAGTATAAGCTAACAATATACAGTTGAACCTCTACTAACAGCCACCTCTCTTTAATGGCCACTTTTTTGTCCCAGCGGACAGTCCATACATTGACTTTTATTTAAACCTCTTTACAATGGCTCAACCTCTCTACATTATAATGGCAACAGCCAAAAGCATGTCTCCAGCTACCAAAATAACCTCTCAAAAATGGGCAGTTTTTTGAGTGACTGATGAAAAAGTGAAGAATGGTCATGAAGTTTGATCTGTAAGGTGCGTTGATGATTAATGTTATTGCAGCAATTGTGTTCCATTTATGCTACTACAGTAAACAAGACTTGTCTATGATACTTGTTCGGTTTGTCAAATCAACATTTTGTTTCAAAACATTATTCAAGTTTTTGGGTCATTTTTTCTCTATATATATTACTTGTGATTGGATTAACATTATAGGATACAGAAAGCATGAACACAGCACAATTAACATGTTGTACTCCCAAACAAGAATTTGTCATTATTACATCCCTACCACCCCATAAACAGCCACCTCTCCACAACTGGCACTTTCTTCTGTCCCCAAGCAGGCCATCTGATATTACGCGATAGTGCGATTTCCCACAATTGACCTTAAATCGCATCCAATCACACAATATTGGGAAAATCGCATAATTCGTAAAAAAACAAACAATCAAACAATTTCCCAATCTTAATGTTATTTAAGGTGATTTACCACTAAAGAATGCCTTGCAAGACATCTGAAACCTTTGATCACGGTATCTTGGCAGCCATTTTGACTTCAGAGACAAGCAGTGCGGTCAGTGGTGTATTTAAACAAGCGTCCTTTTTCTTTCTTTCTCTTTGTTTTCTTTTCCGGGTCAACATAATTGGACAAATTTAACTATTTTGTTTTAAAATAGATGTTTTATTCTTCTTTTACATTCAAATTGCCTGTTAAACAACATTTAAGTGATGTTTCTTTTTTGAAACCTGGAAAAACAATGTTAATTAGCCCTGAAAAAAATAGCATAATTTATCACGTAATAGCCCTCTCTTATCGCACAATCTACCCTGAAAATATCACACAATTTCTGACTTTTTATCACACCCTATAGCTATCAGATGGGCTGCTAAGGTGGCCGTTGTAAAGAGGTTCAACTGTAAATAAAAGAGAAAGATGAAACAAAATATACAGTATATCAGCTGTTTTTATCTATTGTGCCATTACCTTTGTCCTCAAAGAACCTCTCTACGGGCTCAACAAGCATGTTCAGAGTTGCCATCTGCTCTTCATTAAGTGGCTCAGGAAATGGGAAAACCTTTTCCTATGCAAATGAAAAAAACTTTCTAAAATGGGAGAACAAAATTTGTTCTCCCATTTTAGGTGACCAAATTATATTTGGAAACTCATTTTCAGGGCTTTACTGTTACCATGGTAACAGTTATTAGTTATGACATCATCAAATGTCTGAAAATAACAAGCTTGTCAATATACCAATGAAAATCTGAACTTGCAAGAACCTATACCAGCCTTTAAATTTTAAAAATAAAAATGTTTTTAAAGACATATTTTCAATAGGAGGAAACCCTTACTAACAGAAGTCACCTCAAAAACACTCCAACTTCCTGGAAAATCAAGCAGAAAAAGTCGAGAGCTAGGGAGGTTTTTAATCACTTACTTATTTTACTAAAAAAAAACACTTAATGAAGAATGCTCGTTTCCTTAGAGCTGGTATTAAAATTTTACGTGTAATCAAGTTTTTTGAGAATGACTTTGATTGACATCATCCCTCTCTCGTGACTTGTCATTCAAAATACTGAAGTTGACATAATAACAAGAAAGCAAGAGTTTTTATTCAAAAACGAGAAGTTAAAACTGATATATGTCTACCTCTCTATAAGTTATAAAGATTTCACAATGCAAACAGTTATAAAAGTTTCGCATTTAACTGACCAAGTCATAAACTTTTTGGAAATCATCGTTTGGCGCCACATGGCCCATCGCTTTCGCGCTTCGGATTAGCGACGTGCCTTTCCTACTTTCTGTTCCGATTGCCATTCATTATTATTCCATACGATTTTTTCCATTTAAAAGTTAAATATCTCATATGGCTTCAAAGATAAACTTTAAAAGAAAACAGACGATTAAATTTTCATTTCCCTTACCTTGTTGAAACGGCCAAGAAAAAGGTCTTTCGCAAAAGTCGATCTCGGCTTCGAAGTTTGAATATTGCGACGCAGAAATGGTGAAATCGCGAGTCTACAAGTTCTTAAAACTTGCCTGTTAGCCCTTGACGAAAGCATGTTAACCGGAACTTTCTTTAAACTCGAACAAACTGAATATTTACATCACGATCGAAATTTATACTGTTATGGTCACCTTGAACGACCTACAATGAATACCCTTTGGACCCGCCCCAGTCACTCCCCTTCTGCGCGGTTGAGCCGATCCGCTGAAAAATGTACTGCGGTATGCAAGGGCTTCACACTATATAAACGGCGAAGATTTTGTGTGGAAATCTTTGAGAATCAGAGCTAAGTTTCTTAAACGGACACAAAGTCAAAATAGCATCTTCTTCTTCTTCTTTTTTTTTTTTTTTGGGGGGGGGGGGGGGAAGGGTTGTTTGCCCCTCTTTTTGAAAGAAGTGAAAAATTTCCTCACAAAAGTTTTTCCCCTGGAGCTCATAGCCTTCTCTGGATGTTACAGCACCCATCTTTTTCAACTCCATTAAATTTCAAAGTACTTCATTCCGTGTACACATTGATACTCTAAACAATGTCCTTTGTTAAATTCCGTCCAAATGACATGAAGCATAAACCCTTCTAGGGCACAACAATATTTAATAATAGAACCCATAAAATAAATTAATATATTTTTGTTGTTTACCCTATGCAGTATTTAGAGCACCAATATTGGTGGGGCTGAGCCATTGCCTGAAAAAGAATCCCAACTGCCAGAGGCGAACCAGTTGGCTATTTACAGGTGTGATCAAGGATTTGCACACGGGACTAACGAGAACAAATCCAGCTAGCAGTCTGGGCGAGACTTGAACGTGGGGCCTCCGAAGTGCAAGTCCAGTGCTCTAACCGAATGGCCCAGCTGCCTCCCTGAACCCATTGCCTAAACCTCTAATCAAATCAAATCAAATCAGAACCTTTTTATACAAAATGACATTTAAAGCTTAGTAGCTTGAGGGGTAGTCTATGAATTATGGTATATAGTAATATCCTTTAGGCTGAATTCAGAGTAAACTTTTAATCACTTACCTCAATCTCAAGCTATATCTTTGTTTTCCTTGCGACTTTTCTCATACCAGTGTCGCAATGTCCCCTTCGCAGTAACAGAGAATTGCCTGCAGCCATATCCACAAACAAATTCCCCACACTAATTTCAATACGTTTCCTTAAAGTATTAATTAGTTGAGAGAATTTGACAAAGGATCAAAGCATTTTCCACTGGTGGTCATTATTTCAACCTAGCCTATTGACTATTACTGATATTGTTAGGATAGAGGTGATAATGGTCACTTTTGGGACTCAGGCGGTTAAGGAGGGGACAGGGAGGAGATGAAAATTGAATCAATGACTCAAGTCACTTTGACTCCAAAAAAATGACAACTGCACAGGTTGTCAAAATGTCAGACACTGATAGGCTGATTTAGCAACAGAACAGGAATGTCATTTGACGAAAAGAAAGTGCGCAGAAAGGACTAAATTCGACTTCCGGAGTGCCCAATTTGCCGCTCTGCTATTGGCCAAGCCAGTTGTTTGATTTGAGCAAGCCGTCAACTAATGTTCCCGTTCTGTTGCTAAATCAGCCTATTAACAACAGGACTACACACTACAGAAAAATCATGTTATGACATGAGCCCTCGGTTTAAACCAGTGAAAAAGTACAGAGCAATCCCGCTCTATTGACAGCCATATATAACGAACAGTTTTGTTTGTCCGGACAAAAAGCTCACATTTTCTCTAAAGTTAACTCGCCTAATATGGACACCAGTTAATATGGACCAACGGCCCAAGTCACAAACTCTCATTATGGTAAACTTGGCCTTATGGATGCAGGTTTTCTGTACACTGCCTGTGACTGACATAAATTGAATATTGTACCACAGGCAGCCCAGACTCTATATGCGCGTTTGCTAGTTATTTGATTTCTATAAGAAAGTGAATGGAAAATAAACAAAATATGTTCAAAATTCCATTTTTTGAAAAAAAATCACAATAAATATGACTCAACTTGCATTCTTTTGTGTGGTGTGTTTTACTGTCTGTTCGCTTCTAGAGCCATTTTGAACTAGCCATTTCACTGAGTTTTAGATTTTGAGTTGTACTTACAACAAGTAAGTAAATCTAGAACTATAAACATATTTTATGACAGCCAGCTAAATACAGACACTATGGCATGTCCCCTTGGTGTTCGCATTAACTGGGCTCAGGTAAATAAACTACAGATGTTTATCAGCAGCAAATAAACGAACAACAAAATCCACAGTATTAAGAGATTGATTTTTATTTGCTTCCCAGTGTTATTTCACATCATTTTCAATAGAAGGTGTTGGGACGCTTAGCCACAAACTTAGATTTGAAGTGCGACTTGATGACACGGTGGGGCAGAGGAAACTTTATCTTGGAATTCTGTGAAACAAAAACAAATGTAACAAACAGGCATCAATCTAAATTTAGGTGGTCAAGCATATTCCCAATGTCATACTTTCATGTATTAAAACTACCCTTCTGTAAGGGTAAAATGTCTCGTAAAATGTTTAGTAATTTTTATTCTCTTGGTGACCCAAGAAACAGAACAACCCGAGTGTTCACTCCTAGAGTTTGTGGGAATAACATCTTGCAGGGTTGTCAAAAGTAGCTGGCTGCCAGCAAAAATCGCCGCCTACTTTATTAGTATTGGCCAGCTACTCTGCTTGGCATTTCTTTACGGATGGTGTTGTTTAAGTAAAATATCTCTGGACTGGCTGCTTACTTTGACAACACAGCCTGACAACCCTGATCTTGTCTGCTTATTGCTGCTGTTTATTGGATGATGTTAACAACTGGCGATGTGCCATAACTTTCAGGCCTGTTAATAACTTGTCATAAAGTGTACATAAAGATGTCAAGTAAGCTAATTTAAAGGTAGTGATTTAAGACCTCTGTAGTATAATACAGCATGATAATATTTCAATTGACCTTCAAAGCACAGAAGTGGATGATTCAAAACAGATATCTGAACATACTGGATCATACTGAGAGACCTGCCTTACCAAACACCACCCCACCAACTGTTGATGATTGGTGCATTTGAATCATTGCTGAAATTGTTAACAAAAATTTAGAAAAAAAAATAGCTTACATGAAGCTGTTTGACATGTGGCCTTCGGCACTTGTTGGCTGGAATAACATCAACTTTCATGATCTGAATACTTGAGCCTCGTGCACGATGCCTGGCAGCCATATCCCGGTCTGCAAACAAAAATCAACCAATAATTTACACATAAGTTAGAGCTTAGAGTTGTCAGAACTGTACACAACCCCCCAACCTTGTGACCACCGAACATTAGAGTATGACCTCTTTCCAAAGCTAGGTTGACACGGGAGGAGATTTTCCAGATTGGTGGAAAATCTGGAACATTTTGGTGTTGCATCCACTTTGCAGATTACCTGCAGATGTGCTAATCCAAACTACAAATGTCCTAGTTTGGTTGTCTGCCTGAAGATTTTGAGGTAAACGCTATGTACCCGATTTGTATGTCCATAGATTTACGGATGTGGTTAAATGACTGTGAATACCCTAAAATCGGAAAACATTTATGACTCCACAAAAATCTCCTCTGGTATTAACCTAGACTAAACCAACCTAGCATTCAAGAACTTGTCAGGTGCAGTAACTTTAGTTGACATCACTCTAAGGCTCAAAACCTGGGCACAAAATTCTTCCCTATCCTTCCTAATAGGGCATGAAATTAATGTTTTTTCCAACAGCCACTTGGCTCCTAAAATATTTCAAGTGGTTGCCAATTCTAAAAAGCTACTACACCATAAGTTGCTAACAGTAGACTTAAAGAATATGAAATATTTTGGGAACACGAGCCACTTTTCTGCAACAAACGAAGTTGTTTGGATGTCCACCATTGCAACCAATTTTTCTTTTCTCTTTATGAAAGAATTTGGTTGGCTTTGCGGGACTCGAAATCCATGCTCAAGCGTGCCACTCAGGAAGGTGACAATTTTTCAAACATTTAAGGAAATACCATGTGGCACGAAATTTTTGCGGGTTCTAATTGTTGTGATTTTTCCAGCGATCTGCAAAAAAAAGTTCCTGCAAAGATAAAAATTACCGCAAACATTTTTCCCGCAAAAATTTACTTCAGAGTAAACTTAAATTAACTTCAATTCGCCATGCAAAAATACAGTACTAGGAAATTGTGTACGTTCAATTACAACTTGCCTCTTTCATTCAGAAACATAACGGTATACAATGAATTACTTGTTTTACATAGGGTACCCATACCATAGTATTGTTTGAAAATACGTATTTCCATTGCACATAATTAACAAAAACGAAAATATTATCAATACCGGGTACTGGGTATTTTCTGAAAATCGCAAAAATTAATTCCCAGCAAGAAAAACCAATCTGTCCTAATCACAAAAAGTAGTTCACGCAAAACACCAAAAATTACCAATCTGCAAAAATAAACTCCCGCAAAAATTTTGTGCCACACGGTAAGTTGCACAAGGCAAATTCACTCCAACAATTGGACATTTCAAAATAGAAATGAACCTCTCCACAATGGCCACCTTGGGGACAGAAAAAAGTGGCCAGAAAAATGGCCGTTGTAGAGAACTGGCCGTTGTAAGAGAGGTTAATGGAGGTTCCACTATAAACTTAGAAAGCTGATACTAACAGCAAGAAGTAACTGCAGAAGCCACAGTCAGGTCACGATATTCCCTGTACATGTTGTGGGTACCACTGCGAGAGTCATAACGCAGCCACACACCAAAGTTCTTGATCTGCAGGGGCTTTTTCTCATAAATCTATGTCACAGAGAGAAACAAGCATAAGCGGACTGATTTGAGAGCTCTTTTCAATGTCTTGATGTATTGGCCAAGTGATAGTGAGGGCAATACATCAAGGCCGAGGTCTGAGATTTCCCTGTAAAAACTGAACAGACGAGGTTATTAAGTTATTTATCATATGGCCTGCTTAGCACTGTTCTTTAAATGAATTGAATAAGAACACCGGAAGAGATTTTCAACAACCCCGTGTAACAGGTCATTTGAGGCTGTGTTCATAGAACAGAAACAAACCTGGCGATGGGTTGGATCAAGGACACAGCTTCTTTGACAATGAGAATTTTTATATCTTAGCTGGCGGTCAATTAAAAACCAATAACTAGTCAGCAGATAACTTTAAAAAAACACATCACCTCAATGACTTGTACACTTGAGCCTGTGATACAGTCATGTGACACTGGTCAGTGGATAGCCTTTTTTGACAACTGTCAATAATATGGACGTCCACTATCAAGTTTCGTGTTTAAAAACACAGATTATATAGCTTTGGACATTTTCAAGGTATTCTGTGTGAAATAGTAATCACGATCTAATCAAACTAAAACCACTTTCTTAATGAAAGGTATTTAATCAGAGAATCATCATATTCTGATGATGCTGTGCATCTGTAAAAGCTTGGAATACAACAAAATATACAGTTACACAGTGGCTTAAGCCCTCACTTAACCCATTCAGTTATTAGTTCAGCGGCAGATCCGGTGGGTCCAGACACCCTACCCCTCCCCCCCTTTCAAACGTGACACTTGTTTGAGACTGACATTGACAGGATCGTATATCAGTTTTTACCTGGTTGATTTTATTTAATGAAATGCGCGTTGCATTTTGCCACTAAACTAAATTCCAGGGATAATAAAAAACGTCATTGTTTTTTGGTACACTCCTATGATCTGTTCACCTCTGCTCGCAAAGCACTATTTTTCCTGCCCAATGGTGACAAGTGTCCACAGATTACGAAACACGTGGTCATCTCTGTGAGAAGTAAATTGCCACAAAAAAAGTTCAACAGTCCTTTCTGAACCAAATTTTGGACTCCCCCTCCCCCAATCAAAAATTCTAGGATCCGCCCATGTAGTTTAAGGAGTTTGAGTGAACAATACAAACCCGTCTGCAGGAAACAATTTCTCCAGTTGACTTCTTGATCTTCTTAAGTTTGGAAACAAAGTACCAGTACTTGGATTTGCCTATGACCTCATCAGGGGCAAAAATCCTCATTTTGTAGAGTGGAGGAGAAGAGTTCTTCTCTGTTGGCAATGCCCTGCCAATGATTTCAAATTCTTTCAGCTGAAAAAAAAGAGAAAAAAAGACACAGTAAATAAGAAAGTAAATTCTACATGTACCTCCCACAACAGCAATTTATTGACAGGGAAATTTATCTTGAAATGAAAATCTTTGTCTGATATACTTTTCAGTAAATCTGACAAAGGTTGAGTTTCCCCCATCTCAAATTTATACAATAATTGACAAAACAGTTGGAGTTAAAACTCATCTTGGACAGAGGAGTGTCACAACTGTACACAAAACAAGAAAATCACGATCAGTTTTTTCTTTCCCATGCAGGAAACAGACTGAAACTAGAAATCCAGCAATTACCTCTGGATCAGAAAATTGAGACCAAGATCATACTGTTTTACAGCATACAATAGACAATATTTGTATAATTCCCCTACAGCCCTAGGACAAGACACCACAAGCTAGGATAGTGCCAAATGCAATTTTCATGAGCTAAATTTTAGCTTCATACTTTTAGGCTCGGTTCAGACGCCACTCTTTTAATGAGCTGAACCTAATACATTGAATTAAGTACATATAAAGTTTGGCATCTGGATCAATTAGGAACACCTATTTCAATTTGGAACGGCTGAGCTGTTTTTTTACACCTAGCCCAGTCGGGAATTTCGACTATGGAACAACTTTGGAACGTCTTTGATTTAGACACCAAACTTTTCATGTACCAAAAACCTAATGCATAAATTATAATACAGCGAAACCTGTATTAAGCGGACACCCTCTATTAAGCAGACAGTAGTCGAAGTCCCAAAATTTATTTCCCTTATCTACTTTAAATGAAACCTTTATGAAGCAGACACGTCTATTAAGCGGACACGGACACCTAAAAAGTACCTGAAATGGTCATTTCTTTTGTTGCCAACCTGTATTAAACGGACACTTGGACACCACCCAACATGCCAGACACCGGAAATGCGAAAGATTGCCACAAATTTTTCGATTTTTACATTTAAAACCTTGACTTGATGAACTTATTTGATTAGTTTTACCTTACTGCATTGTTTTTCTATTTCGTTTTGTTTGTATAGAGCTTGTTCCACTCATCTGATTTCTTCAAATTTGAGTTGCAATCTATGTTTATGGTACTATGATCAATTGGTTCACTTTGATAAAGAAATGAATGCAAACGTATATTGTCATAGTCTCTGGGAGTATTCTAAACGTTTCCACTGTTCATCTGAATGGCATTTGACACCTCATATGACGTTATCTATTGAAACCTGCATTAGGCAGACACCCTGTATTAAGCAGACACTACAGCATTCCCCGAGGGTGTCTGCTTAATACAGGTTTCACTGTAATGTATTTTGCAAACAATTCAACCAACATGAGCATTTTTGTCCTTTTGAATTTAGTTTGGCTGGAATTATTATCGGCATCTGAATCAATTCAAGCAGTTTAAATAATATGGGTCGGCCTTAATACGAATTAGGGTCGGCTCATGAAAAGTTCGGCGTCTGAACCGGGCCTTAGCTTGACAACTTTTGTCTTGACTCAATTAAAAAAATTAAACAGAATACACAGGCACTAGTTATAATATTGTCAATTATTGATTCTTTACTTATTATATCCCTTGTTCTACCTACACAACAGTTTTAAATGTCAGCACATTCGAAAATTACTCCACTATCTACTTTAAAACAGTTCACAAAAACCACAGACTAACATTTACCATTCAAAACAATCTAATGCACCTCTATAAGAAGGTTGTAGCTAGATTCCCAGACACAATGAAATCCTGTTATTTTAGTTACTTTACCAAAATCTACAATGCACAGCTTAAGTCGAAATAACTCAGTTACACAGAATCCGACTAAATTTAATTACTTAAGTTTCTTGAAATTAGTAAAAAGCTTCCATCTAAATCATTCGTCATGGAGAGTAAACTAGGCCTGTGATCGCTGTTTTGTAGCGACTGTAATTTAACCGAATTTAGAATGAAAGCAAAACCCTATGCCAGAAATTCCAACGGTGTAACACCAGTAAAAAACGAAAATAAGACAAAATATCCCAGCCTTGCGTGGTATATGTAGCCATGTTAAAACACAACTCCCGGTTCGATAAAACAGAAACAGACAAGACAAGAAACGAAATACAGCTTATACTTGGGAAGCGATAGGGCTAAGCTTTGCTTTAAATGTTATAATCTGTATTTCTGCACTGAAAGGGTTCGAAAAACCGGTAAATTTTAATGTTGGTTACCTCTCCACGAACTTTCATTTTGAACACGAGGGAAGAAGAGAAAGAATCGAACACTGCTGGGGGTAAAATGGCGCCGGGCAAGGCATGCTGGATCTTCGGTACCAACCTTCTATCGTTCCTCCACAGGTAAACCAACTTTCAAAGATTCTGGATGTACAGGCTCTTTCACGCAAATGAGCAACTTCAAGAATTATATAAAACACGAAAAGGTGTAGGCCGCGTTCGTTCATCGTGACTTTCATGACGGTCTTTGTTAAGACCATACTTGGCCTCCTTGACTCCCTCACGAAACGCTCTTTAGATCAGATCCTCTTAAAAATCTTTTGTTCATGACTGCAATGCTTCAGTGTTGTACAGTGACCCCCAAAACAACTACTCAGACTCAGTTAGAGAAGGGTATCACACATGGTGGCCACTAAGGGGATGATTTTGTTCCTCGTAGTTTTAATATTGAAAATAATTGTGTATGGCTGGGATCTATCTATACAATGAACAACCGTCGAACGTCTAGCGACCATCCTTAGGCCCGGTTCAAACGTCGTGTTACTGGCCGTGCCGAACTCAATTGATCCAATTAAATTCGACTTTAGCACGGCAGTAGCGCAACGTTTGAAACCAAGTCGTGCTACTCCCCTGCAGCACGGCAAGCCTTGCCGTGCTTCACGGCAGTAGCTCGACTTGGTTTCAAACGTCGTGCTACCGCCGTGCCGTGCTCAATTCATAAATTATAAATACATCAAGAATACGTTTAAAAGTTTGCTAAACCGTTTCTTTATTTTTGTGTTTTGTTTTCGGCAACAGCCGTTTTATTCGACTGAATTAAATTCGACGTCTAAAATCAAGTCGTGCTCAGTGTCGTGCTGCAGTCCAGCTACAGTCGAGCCAGCTTAGCACGGTAGCGGCACGACGTTTATTTTTGAAACAGGCCTTAGGGAACGGAGGACGGGTTCAACTTTGCTCCTAATTATTAAGTAGGTCGCTCAACAGATGATATCTTCACAGTGATTACTGACAACTTTTACCTTCGGGACTCTACGTAATGGAATAAACTCCTAAGGGATATAGCATTGTCCAATTCACTGGCTGCTTTTAAAAATGCAATTTCAAACATTTATTAACACTTTTTATTGCTTTGCGCTCATATGTGCCATTTCAGTCACTTTTGTTTTCCTTTTTTTTTAGAGGGGTCTAAAATGCTCGGTACTTTAAGTGGAGTGACAAACCTAAATGATAAATGTATCTAGCTTCCCAACTTTCTTGGGGGTTCGTCACGCGTTCCTGCCCCACAAAGGCCCCTAAGAACGTCTGCGTGGGAGGCTAAGTGGTGTCTGGCCGTTTAAATACAGTCAAACCTCTATTAAACGGTCACCCTCTATTAAGCGGTCACCTATCAATTTACCGAAATTTGCTTCCCATATTTACTGTAAATTTGACCTCTATTCAACGGTCATCTCTATTAAGCAGACACGGTCACCATTTTGATTTCCCAATGGCTAATTTTATTGTAATTTACCTCTGTTAAACGGTCACCTCGTTACATAACAATCCCTATATGGCCTATTTTTGCTCACAAAGAACTCTCGGTGGCGCTGAGCAAAGTCAGTGACTTGCTTTATCAACTGTAGACGACCATAACTGAATTTCTCTCTTCATGTTGAATGAGATTTTAAAATTGCTGAAGATGTGCTTGATTGTAAAGACACGCTCCCTTACAAAAAACACTAGGCTGATTTAGCAACAGAACGGGAACGTCAGTTCACAACGGCGCGCGCAAATCAAACAACTGGCTTGACCAATGGCACCGAAAGTCGTGTTTAGTCCTTCCCGCGCTCTTTCCCGTCGTCAACTGACATTTCCGTGCTGTTAAATCAGCCTATTACTCCATTAAGTGGTCACCTGGCTAATTCTCGAGGGTGATCGCTTAATAGAGGTTTGACCGTAGAGGGTATCCTCAAGGGGCCTGGGGGGGGTGGGTACTCCCTATAACGTCCTTAAAGGGTAGGCTCCACCCGAAAGGGGCACACCTTTTTTTAGGCTTCAGATAAATGAAAGGGAAGGTATGTCACAACGGAGTAGGAAACAATTTCATTTCGATTTCGGTCTATAGAAGGACCTAAATGGGATAATAGATGCATTTTATGGCTTTGAAAATAGACAAGAAACTTTCTGGTCTAGTGATATATTCAGATTTAAAAGAGGGTGCATTAACAGAGGTTAAAAGGACGTTTTTTTCTAAACTAGGTATATAAAAGGGGTCGCATTTGTCAATAGAAGATATGCAAGCTCACCGGGGCGCTCTGGCGGTGGGGCGCTCGAGAACTTGCTCGCTGGCTGTCGCTGGCTGTGAAAAATCCGTGCCCCTCATTTTGTTATATATATGAATTGAAGAGAGGTGCCAACTTCAAAAAGAAAATTTGCGGGCGCTCGAGGGCGTACTGGGGGGGGGGCGCGCGGGCACAATCTTCGTGTGTGTCGGCTGGTGAGAAAAATCCCTCCCCCCTCCCCCCGCCCCCCCCCCCCCCCCCCGAAGGTAACCCCTTAACAGAGGTTCGACTAATAAAGCATGCTGTACGAATTGGCGAAACTCGAGGTATTCAGTGATACAGGATACAATCTGATACAGGATCGAGCCAAATATACGGCCACGTTTACCACAAGTTGTTCCGTGGCTCATCAGGCTACAGTATACGTAGTTAGATGACCTGACTGGTATCTGTAACTGGGACGTCATTGGTTAGTATACCCCGCTGGATAGCCAGCTAGAATTAAATGTGTCTGGCCTAAATTACCGTCAGAACATGAACCACAAGTTAAACTGTGTTTCTAATTTATTTGTTTACAAGTGTATTTACAAGTTTTATTTACATAAATTTATTTACAAAACTTACAGCTGCAATTTTTAGACATAAGGTAACTAGTTCGTAAACGCCTTTGATCATGACAACAATAGCAACAATCCTTAAAAAGATTCATATCCTCTAATTTGGTAACATTTTGAATTTCAGTTTCAGTATGAATTTTAAAATCTATCACTTTCTTAAACGAACGCCAAGATTATCGATGTAATTGTCCCTTCCTTATGCTTTCTATTTCTGGCCACAATTCTGTTGTTTCAGGGTCGAAAAGCACCTCGAATTACTATTCCTTGTAGTTCCAAAGCAGAACTATTAAATACCTAACTGATGTGAAAAAGGTCCTATTTTGCAACTTATCAGATGCTGTCGAAAACTTAACTACAATGAGCATGCGTACATTTTCGGGCGCTTTGACTTCACCACTCCTTTGGTGTTTGAATGTTCGCTTGCAGAAACTGATCATGATAAGATAAACTCTTAGCTTAGAATTCGTAGCCATTTCTTTCGTTTACAGCTTTTTGCAATGCTCTCCGGAAAGTCAGTTCTGGCCTCATTTCTACTGTGGACCTCGTGCGCTTTAAACAACACGACTGTCCCAAAAGGAACCGACCCAACGTTTTGAACGTCCCTGTTCTGTAGTGACATGTATCTGTGATGAAGTCACGAAGGATAATCAGGTGATCGCGTGAGACCTAGAAAGTCACGCATTTTCTGGATTATGATGTCACAGCTGAGCATGCACATCACGTGATACACATAGTTTTTGTTTTAACCTTGCCGTGCGATAAATAAGTCTTGTTTATTCTTGGTCTCGCTGCGATGTAATCGATGAACCTTTGGCTTATTAGTTCCGGGGATTTCCATGACTAACTCATTGTAGCCGCACTCTTGACAAAACTTAAATGCTTCTTGCAACAGTTTTGTGGCAATGTACTTTCGCTGTCCGCCAAAGCACACATCAACAGAAATTCGTTTAACAGATGCAACACTTTCAGATATTTGATCGATGGCTATAAAACCCACGATGGAGATGTCGAACTCCGCCACAAGGAAATTGCACTTTGCCTTGGATAAATAATTCTGAAAGAAGAGCAAAAAAGACAAAGCTTGTTAGTAACAAACGTTTAGGTCAGGAATAAAGGCTAGCGCTAGATGCGGCAATTTTTAACAAACGTTTTACGGTGATTATTAGTACGGGATGCGGGATGCGGGATGAGGGATGCCAAGAATAACCATCGGGATTACGGGATTGAGCAAAATGACGGGTTAGGGGCACTCCTTTATAGTACCATGAGCAAAACTGTTGGCCAAAAAGGCCCTGTGATTGATCAGTTTGGCGGCTTTTTACTCTCAAGTCAAATCAAATCACCTCAAGTCAGGTTAAATGGCGCACCTCCCCAGTATGCGTTGACTGAATAAAAATTATCCTTATTTTCAAGAGATGTGGGACAAATAAAAATTGAACAGCTAAGTTACCAATATTTGTACAATAAATATATATGTAGCTATATGTTGATTCATGTACAAATTTGTTTCCCTTCTTTTTTGAGATGAAAAAACTTGGTCCCTTGCTCTTACAGTACATCAAGGACCTCGAACCGGGGGGGACTCCCTTATGAAAGAGGCGGGGATGCTCGTCGTCTCGCTTATTTCAGATTTTAATCTCTCTTAGGGTGTTCTGGGCAAGAAACCATTACATTTAGCTTTAAAGGTCTCTTTTAGGGTTGCACTTGAAGAAACATTGAAAAATTAGATATTTTCAATTCGTTTTATTTACTCGATTCATGTAATCAAAGTTTAAAATGATCGCTTTAAGGGGTCAAAAAAAGGTTGGGCCACGCCCAGATTGGTCTCCTTTAGAGGTTTAATTCAAAATTTCCGACGAGTATCCCCGCCCCTTTCATATGGGAAGTTCCCCCCCACCCCCCCAAACAGGCCTCGAACTCGTTCGATCAGAGTTGAGAGAGTGAGAGGTGATGAGCGAAATTGTATTCTAAAGGCTTGGCAACCGCAAAACATTTCTTGAAGACGCCGCTTGCTATCCCATTAGAGCAGTTTCCGAGATTTGATATTTCATGATATCTATCGGTGGCGGTGAAACTTGAGCTATAATAACCAACGTATTTCAGTTTTTGCTATCGTTACGTAACTAACTTTTTGACCTGAAGAGTGAATGGAAGACATTCTTAGTGTGCGTGGTTTTAGCATTTTACAGCGTTTTGACGGCATTATGTTTTCTTTGTTCCAGCAAAGGCTTTTATTATCTGAATAGCCCTCTGCTTTTTCATTAATTTCACAATGATTATGCAAAAAAGATAATTGAAAGCAAACCATTGACAAAACAAGTTAGAATATGTGAAAAGAAATCACGTTCTCCTCTAAGAAAAACAAGTTTATCTTCCAGTCGATTATTTTGCTACTGGGTCAAAAGATCAGATCACATCTCGCGTGCAGCAGCAACATACGGTTGCAACGCACGTGGAATTTCACGCGCGTGGATCCTCGTGCCTTTGTGGGCAAAGTTGGGGACTAGGTGTTTTCGTGTTTTTTCAATCTGAGGATAAAAGTTTTGCGTTCAAAAGAGATCTAATTGCTAGAACTTTCTTCTGACGCTGTTTGCTAACTTTTTAGGCGGGTGGAAAACGCTTTAAGATATTACCAATGTCGCTATTAGTAAAATCCTTTTACTGAAAGGAAAACCGATGTTTGATTGATGTGATTTCCACAAAATTAATGATAAATGAAACTTTACGCTGATCTTTGATGTGGTTTATAAGATGTTTTACGCATCTAACAGACTTTCGTAATTTTTTTAGGGTGTACGTCAACTTTAATCGTGATACAATTACAAACAGATAAGCGCGCGTGCTCAGAAACGGAAATTAAGATGCTTTAATATGTGTTTAAGTGTAGATCAAACTACGCAAAGAAAAGCCGAAAAAGATTTTTCGCGTTTTTTGGTTTCCAGAAAAATCTACCAGCTTCTAAGGTTCTTTCTCTCCATTCGAAATACTCTTCCTTAGATATCATGTCACGTTTTGAATTTGTTCCAGAAAAAATCCAGACCTAAAAGTATTTCCAGAATCTTCGTACTCCAAGAAAGGGCACGCAATACAGAAATTTTAGGAATTTTGGATCCAGGGGACTTCCACAATAAAAGAACTTTCGCTGTTTTTTATAAGTGGTAAAACCAGTCTTCAACAAATGCCCGTGATGTTTACTTCAATTTCTGAAAGTCATTTCTAACTATTTGCCAGCTTTTCTCCTTTGACCTAGTGACCTGGGTTCTTTCACCTATCTAAACTGAAAAAGTGTCGTTAAATGTGTTACCACAGAACGCTCTGAAAAAGTTTCTATCTTTCTAGAAATGATATTCAGAAGGCAAGCCATAGTTCTCATTTGTTTCCTTATGTACTTTTAAACATTATGCACGTAAAACATCGAAGTTTAAGGAAACAATTTTGTTACAAAATGAAAATTAAGGGTACTGTCCAAATTAGGGTAGTTTTAGATAAGAAAAGATTAAAAGGATGGCCGCCAAAATTTTAGTCTTTTGCGGGTTTGAATGTTCTACATCAAATGAAAACTGGCAGGCGGAAACCCGCGGTTTTGAGAACTAGGAAATCACGGTAAATGCCAAAAATATCGAGGCCCTCAGGACACCGTACACGACGTTTCTGTCAAGATCAAATTTAGGACGGATGTTTTGTGTGTATTTAACATACACAATAATACATTTAGCAATAGTATCGCTTTGGCACATTATTACTCCATTACTGCATTAGCTGAGTTTTTGGAAAAGTCTTTTTTTTTATGAGATATAAAAGCTACGTGAAGATGCAAGAAGCGTTCAGCCTCAAAAAAACTTCCAGAAATTCCAAAATTGTCTTTCATAAAACGAGGCGAAAAGTTGACTACGTGCTGGGAATTCAAACTATTCACTGTGTTACTCTAGATTGTTTCTTTGCGGTTGCATTGAAAAGAATTTAAAAATCTGGAAAATTCAAAGTGTGTTTTCTTAAAGCGTGTGGTTGCAATAATGGCTCTTGAACAAACAATAATTCAAGTTCTTAAAATTTATCGCTGGTTTTTAACTTGAAGTTTTTCTCTAGCCTTAGAAACTAGACTTGGAATTTTTTCATTGTTTTGAAAAGGAAGGTAAAGAAACAGACTTTATTTGATTTGTTATGCTTTTTTTAAAAAAACGGATAAACCGTCTTTGCGGAGTTCACAACTAGTTTGTTTTCTTAAAGTCTGTCAAAATGCATGCACCGACTGTTGGCTTCTTGTCACTTCTGTTATAACTTGGCATACTAAATACCTTCAAACTACATATATTTGTTTCCGATCTTAATAGCTTATCTTTAATAGTTGTTCTCGCATGAGCAGCTATTACTCTATGGACGCGGTTTGCACCCTTTTCGCGTAAAACAACTATTAAATTTAAGTAAATACTGACTTTCGTTTAATCAAAGGAAAATTCCGGGTACCTGTGTGATGTTACTTAAGTCTCCTCTCAGAGAGCTGGTCAAATAGTTATAAAACCAGTGATAAACGTAGACGAAGACCCNTTGAAGTTTTTCTCTAGCCTTAGAAACTAGACTTGGAATTTTTTCATTGTTTTGAAAAGGAAGGTAAAGAAACAGACTTTATTTGATTTGTTATGCTTTTTTTAAAAAAACGGATAAACCGTCTTTGCGGAGTTCACAACTAGTTTGTTTTCTTAAAGTCTGTCAAAATGCATGCACCGAGTGTTGGCTTCTTGTCACTTCTGTTATAACTTGGCATACTAAATACCTTCAAACTACATATATTTGTTTCCGATCTTAATAGCTTATCTTTAATAGTTGTTCTCGCATGAGCAGCTATTACTCTATGGACGCGGTTTGCACCCTTTTCGCGTAAAACAACTATTAAATTTAAGTAAATACTGACTTTCGTTTAATCAAAGGAAAATTCCGGGTACCTGTGTGATGTTACTTAAGTCTCCTCTCAGAGAGCTGGTCAAATAGTTATAAAACCAGTGATAAACGTAGACGAAGACCCCAGAGAAGGCGAAAATCCCTCCAAAGAGTGCCAAAATGCAAGATCTGGCGAATATTACTCCAGCGAACATCAACATGACATGTAAAACGACTGCAGGCGGACTTCGAACAGCCTGGACAAACATCGGCCATAACATACATCTCGTCTCCTCCAAGAACAGATTGTGAACTCGGTGTGTATCCTCGCTATGGAAACGCCTTATTCGTAGATCCCGATCCAAAGTCGGCGTTCGGGCAACGCTGAAGGATTTCATGTTGTTCCTTTGGCACTGACTGGCTAAATTCATACCAGTATTGCTCGATATATTAACAGGTTTGGGAGCGCGTAAAAAAAGACAGTCTTTCCGTTTGTTGCGTGTGGTGTCTGTGCTCAGCCAAACACGACTAAGACGCTTTTGTTCCACTCACATGTTAGACTTTGCTCCCTATAGGATAAGCACGCATCGTAAGATGGACACACGACACCAAGAGCTATATTTAGCCCAATCAAAGTCAAATATGGACTCAGTCGATCGAACGACCCTTTTTATGTTGGAGATTACATCGATTTCTAATCGGCGCAAGGACAAGGTGTTGAAAAACGCTGAAATAAAAGTTCAAGGAGCTAAAAACAAACCATTGATGTACAAAACGCCGCGCTACCATTATTTTGCTCGTCTCCGTGACTTCTGAGAGTGTATATCCGTGATTCTAGATGTTTACGTAAGTTAGGGGAAGGGTGGGTATGGAGGGAGCACGTAATTTACAAAGAAGGAGAGATGGATGGGTACACGGTCAACTCTACCTAATATGGACATCATGGGACCTGCACTATGAGTCCGTCTTAGAGAGAAAAAAGTAAAAGAAGCAAAGAAAGGCAGGGACCAACTCTTAGTGGCCTTTCTTGCTAGATGTCCGTCTCCTACGCAGACGTTCTTAGGGTTTCGTCACGCGTTCCTGTCCCACGCGTGAGGAGCCACTAAAAACGTCTGCGTAAGAGGCTAGTCTTATAGCCGGGTGTACGTTAAGAGTGGGTTGGCTGTACTCAAGCAACGAAAACAGCTGCGCCCACCCGGGCCTCGGGCTCTCGAAATGAACTCAAATCAGCTATCCTTAGCTTAGTAGGGCGGGGATTTTTTATCAAACATTATTAATTTTATTAATTTTTTTTAAATATATCCAACAACTAGTTTGCCGTATTGACTGTGGACGGAATTGTGGTATGATAAGTATCGTTTTTAACTTCAATGAAATGACTGTTCTTATAGGTCTTGTGTGGGTAGCATGTTTCTAGGAGAGAAAACCATATTTGGAAGTCATAAGAAAAAAAGGATTTTGGGACTGATAAGTCGAAAGTTTTCAAAGATTTTAGCTAGGCAGTTAAGCTACACATTTCACTTTCACACCAAACAAATCTTGATTCGCTTCATATTCAACAAGCGTTATTTGGAGCACGGAGCAATGAACATTTGATAGTTAGCGACGTCACTGTCCGAGCGAGATCAAGCTCTTCAGAGATCTCCAGACAGTCATTTATATATTGTTTACATCACGTACAACAGGTTATGACATCATAAGCGTGACTTCTCCGAACTGCGTGCAACAAAAATACATTCACGCACGATCAGATCATCTTTCCAGGAGAGTCGAGAGTGTGGGTTGTTACTAAATTCACCAAAGAGAGCCTGACTTCGACTAGAATGATACGAAAATTTCCTGCGAAACTTTTATTTTGAGGGCAATGGTCCCAGCATAGGCGTGTGCCCACGAAAGGAAAGGGAAAATTCTCTGATTATGGAGGGAATTAAGCCCACACGCGACTTGCGCTGACCATAACGCTTCATCAGTGTCGAATTTTTTTCTGTCAGTTTCAGTTTGAGCAGGTCACTCGCAAGCCACAACAACTTTTCCATTTTGAATTCCACTATGGTAAAAAAAATTGACACGTATTTATTTCCACTCCTAGGGTGTTTTAACTTTTTTGAGTGTTTGAAATCCTTTGGTGTGAGCATTCAAATGAAAGCCACTAAGTTCTTTGGCATGGCACTATTTGCTTTCCGGCAGTTTTCAAAAACCGAAGACTTGGAGATTTTGTTGGACTTCTTGACTTTGGACACCTTTGGGAATCAGCGGTTTATAAGGCCACAACGTTTAATCGACTATTACCCATATATACCTGCATAACTATCGATGTCTTGCCCTGCGATCAGTGTTTCTTTGATTTTGCTAGATAGGTCGACTTATTTTGGAAGATTAAAGTACCTTTGCCCCGAGAGTATCCGTGCGTACTGGGAGGGCAGTTGGCCTAGTAAAAGCTGAATTTTTCCCTTTAAAACCCGGCCTTAAAACCAAGGACGAGGACCAACGTTTCTTACGTAATCAATACATGGACACTACACAACCGCAGTAGACACAACAGCCTTCATACATTAATCCGCAGTATAATATCACTGTGAAATCATTTCTAAGAACTTTTCACCTTTTAAAATCGCAAATGTAAGTTTTTAACCTCTTTTTTCATCGATTTATCTGTGCTAAATCTGTATACCGTCTGTTTTTGCTGGTCTCGAACGCTTCGCAGCTGAGCAACGTCCGTAATTACGAAGGTAAAAACTAAATCCCAGGATCCTACCGGGCCTTCGTGTGATCGTAGCCGACAAAACTAAAAGGAAACCCACAACTCATACAATGAGTGTATTGCCTTCAACACTGATTTGTGCAGGCCCACTGGGCGTTTAATCCCGGAAGTGCTCGTTTTTAATTTGGTGGTTTACCATAGTCTAGACAGAATACCGCTAGTTGAAAGGTCAAGGGATTGGTTGAGGTGGGGGGATGGCAGCGCATTTTACACTAATGGGGATCTGCTTTCTTTGGAAGGAATTAATAGAAAGGAATACTTTTTTTACCAAAAGTAAAATGTGATTTGAAAGGGTATGGTTTGGACCTCGAGCTGGGCAACCTACTCGTCCCGAGCGCTATTCCCTCATGGAAAAGCCAGCTCTAGGGACGAGGATGCGGGCCGGGCAATCCAATCTTGTTATACTCCCACCCAACCCCAGGACATTTTTTCACAAATCAGTGGGGAAGTATTAAGATGGAATCCACCAGGAAAATGAGTTATTTTAATTTTCAGTGAACAAAAACCTTGTACCAGAATAATTTAAAGTATGTTGCATTCAAATTTACATTTTTGGAGAGCTAAAGATGTAATTAGTCGACTGTAATAACACCATAGCAAATCTGTTATGAGAGCTCGGGAAAATGAATGTCAAATTTCACAAAATTACATCTTTCACATGAAATTTTCAGAATTGCCTGTTTTTCACAATTCTTGGGAAATTTGACATTCATTTTCTCGGGTCTCTATAAGAAATTTTCTTTGGTCTTATTACATATAACTAATTACATCTATAGCCCTTGAAAAAAGTAAAAAAGAATGTCATATTCTTTAAATTTTTCTGGTACAAGGTTTTCGTCCACTGAAAATTAAAATTACTCAATTTCCTGATGGAATCAGTCTTCAAAGCTATTGCCATGCAAGCAGTTAGCTATATAAAACTTGTTACGACACAAGAACTGCTAGCAAGCACGTACGTACGTTTAGATAGTTCCGGATGTGATCGATATAAGATTTCCAGTGGTTTCCAGTTTCCCGTGTTACATTAGGATCCCATCTCCTGGTCTCGTATGCTTTCTGTAGGGCTTGTACACTGTGAGCCCACACGTTTGTAATGGAAAACTGCATGCAAAGATCGAACCCCCTTGTGGGGACGAAGTTGCCCATGTCCCACCACCTCTCGTAGAGACCACCTTTTGTAAGGGACCGCGCCACCTCAAAAAAACAACATTTTCTAAAGCAAATCACTATATTTGGCATCTCTCGTAAGCGATCGTGACCACGCTTTAAAGCAGCGGTCAGTATAATTTCCGCTGTTTTACACCCTCCCCTCCCCCTCCCCGCCCCTCCTTGGCCCCGAAAGGGATCACTATGGTGTGGCCCCAGTGTTCGAAAGGTGGATAGCGCAATTGGTTTCCCTAACACTTATCCGGTGGATAGCGATTTATTCGATGGATAGCCCTAGGTATATTTGGAACAACCGGGGTCTGGTTCCGGTTGTTCAAACGTTGGATAGTGCTATCCACCGGATAAATCACCATCAACCGGATAAGTATTAGGAAAACCAATTGCGTTATCCATTAGATAGATTTTTCCGGGGGAGGACTCCGCATATGAAAGGGGTAGGAATGCTCGTCGGAAATTTTGAATTTAAACCCTAATAAAGGAAACCTATCTGGGCGTGGCCCAAGCTTTTTTTGCCCCCTAAAAGTGACCACGGTATAGGTTTTATTTTTATATTTTTTTCGCGTGCAACCCTAAACGAGACCTTCACGGCTAAATATGATGGTGTTTTGCCCAGAACACCCTAAGTGAGACCAAAATCCGAAATTTACACCCCTAAGCGAGACGACGAGCATCCCCACCACTTTCATATGCGGAGTCCCTCCCCCGGGAGATTTTTATCCCGTGGATAGCGCTATCCAGCGTTTGAACAACCGGAGCCTGATCTTTAATTGGTAGGCAACTCCCAACCGAGAAAGAAAAATTCATTTTTAAGTTTTTATGGCTCTTCTTGTATTGAAACTCAAGACTGTAAGCAGAAAATTAGTTTTGAATGAATACCGCCGGACCTCTCTGTTGTTCGACTTTAGTAAGCGGCAATCTCACGTAACCGACCTCCTATTTTACCATTGTTCTCCTTTCTTGACTCACGACGAGAAATAGAGAACCTCGGGAACGAGGTTGAGCGACGCCCAACTTACGTGAGTTTGAACTGTCTAAGAAGAAATACCACAAACGATTGGTCAAGAGAGAATTGCCATCCTAAACTTTGCATGGTAAAGAGGAAGGGTAATTTCTATGTGCAGCTTTGTTGATACTCCACTTCCGCTCCTGGTAAATCCCCAACCCCCCCCTCCCCTTCCTCCCCTCCCGTCAGAAATACTGAAATTGAATTCTGCAAGGCTGATCGTACTACGTGAAAATTAACTTTGCAAGACATCAACACGACACTGTCTACTGTCTACGGTTATATATATGACCCCGCTCTGTTTTTGGTTCTTTCAGTGTCGTGTTGATGTCTTGCAAGGTTAATTTTCACGTAGTACGATCAGCTTTGCAGAATTCAGTGTGTCTACTCAGTGTATATTTTTGCTGGTCAGGTCTTTTATAGATCCTACGTTTTGCGGCATATTCGTTTGCGGTCCTTTGCAGTTTAAATGTCAATTTATTACATCAGTAATACGCATTTTTCTCCTTAGCGGAATCTAAGAAATGTTAGCGGCATCACGCCAGTCACGCAGGGCCGCGAGAGCCCAGAGCAAACGTCCCGCATATACATTGCGCAACATCTCTAGCTTAGTATTTGAGTGTCACTGAATAAATAGTATTGCAAAGAGCTACTTAAACGTGAAAACTATACAGCACTCCTGACAAAAAGCACAATAAGAGTGGCCCAACGCATTGAACATTGTTGAAGTTTGCTGGAACTAAATCACTTTTTTGTGGCAGATTATCCGGAAGAAATCACGAAAACGCCAAAAATTTCAAAAACGTCTGTAAACTAAACCAGATGATTTAATATCTGGGATCTCCAATTCCCAGTCGCGGGATCGTTTACTCGTGACCCGATCACTGAGTCGTCTGACAACGGGTCAATGTAAACCTCGCTGTAAATTTATAGACCGTTAAGTGAAGTTGGCTGCACAGAACATTTTATGACCCAATGACTCAATTCAGGAATAAAAGAGCTTGTTGTTTAAATCAAGAAATAATCATAGTTGACGCAAAAAATGCTAAAAAAGACAAATTGCAGCTCAGTTAAAACTCATGACAAAGAAACAAAACATCCCCCAAAATTTTGGACGTTTTATTCTTTTCTGTAGTATGATTTATCCAACCTCGACACAAAGCTAGCCTCAACTTAAAAAAAGCGTCTGATTACGCTTATTTTCTTTGGATTTAACCCCCACCACACCCCGACCCCAAAAAAGCCTTCCACCATCGACTCCGCCATCATCTATTTACCCAATCGCCAGGAGGGCTCCTAACCTCTCTGCCTCTCAAAAGAACATGGTTGTCACTCGAACACACTGAATGACCACCGTAGGCAACCAAAACTGATGAATCTAACGTTAAAAACACTCGCTTTATTTTTGCCCTCCGAGATTGCACTGCAACTTTCATTTTCGCCCGTGATCGCACCCGTGACGTGACTCGCGACCCGCGGATTCCCGCAGGTGAGTGCCCAAAATAGCTATGAGTTAATGTGAAAATAGCGGCCGCTAAGCTTGTAACGCGGGAAGAGTCAAGGAGCGGTCGTACGGCGGCAGGTGAGAGGGAAGTGTTCGTACGAGAGATTGAACTTCTTTTCTTGAAAATGAACAAAAAACCGAACATCGACATACTCAAGGAGCCGAAAGGATTCATAAAAGGAATCGAGCTTGTAAGTTTATCGCACATCCATGTTGTTTTGTATCTGGTTTTTAGTTTTTTTGGCTCTGATCGCGGTGAATACAGCTTATTAGCTGATAACATTGCTGCATGAAAGCTGCTACAAAAATAACGATTTGTGAATAACATCTTTTGTGCGTGTAAGCTGTTTTGCTTTACTGATATCGAATCTACATCCCCTATTTTTTCTTTATTTTTATAATCGTTAGTAATAAAGTTTTCCCCCTAAACGAATAACATTGTGATCGCATGTACAGCTAGTTAACAGTGCGTGATTAATCCATACGTGAAAAAAATATGTCAAATAACTAAATTTATAATCGGTCTTTATATATGCATTTCTTCGAAAACAGTCTAATATATATTTGGCTATATCAGACTGCTTCAGTTATAGAGGCAATCCCTTTGTGAACTGAGATCTAGAATTCCCTGCTGTACAACTGTAGGCCTAAAAATATTACTTTCTAACAGATAATATAAACGTAACAGAACAAATAATTTCTGCAATTTAAGCTTACGTAAGTGTCTATAAAAAAAAGTGATTTGATTTGGTTAAATACTTTGGCCCTGTTCAAATTAAGCAGGTTAAGATATCGTTCATCAATGTTGCATACGTCTGGTACATGTATAATATGTTCAAAGACAACTATTTAAGCAATAGATAACGCTTTCCGTGTTTGCATAGCCTGATATAAACACGAGAGGGGTTGGGAGAATTCGAGACAGTTATGCAAACCCTCGACTTCGTCTCGGGTTTGCATAACCGTCGAGAATTCTCCCAACCCCTCGAGTGTTTATATCGGGCTATGCAAACACTGGAAAAAAGTTTTCTATTGCTTTTATAAAATAACTTTCCCGAGAAAAAAACGCAGAACTTTTTGTATGGCACTGATTAAAAGAGAAATTCATACCAGTCCCAAAATCTTGCCCACGAAGTCTTGTACGCGTAATCAGTTCTTGTTTTGCAAAAAGACGCTTTGCAAAATACGGATTTTTCTCGCTTAAAATGTCAGCTTAAGCAAAGAAAAATTGACTCACCTTCTTTGTAACGATTTTCCATGTTTCAGCCAAGGAAGGAATGGGTAAATAAAGTAAACTTGTTGAGTTTTGAACTTGAAAACTTTTTCAAATTCGTGCTTGCGTGATTAGTGCGCGAAAAGCCTAACAACTTGACACCACAACCATGTTTACATACTCTCATGCAAACACTCCTCTCAGCCAATCAGAGCCCGCGTACTATCTTAGTTATTTTATAAAAAAACATCTGTGACCTTTCTTTAAATTATTTTATTATTCATTCAAAATATTTCCCCGATTCTGATTGGCTAAAAGCACACGTTTAATTTACCGTAACCAGTTACTGATGACCAAATTTGGAGGAATTTTGTTTTTAGCGAGGAAATGACGTCAAAAATGCAGCGTTCTTGCAGGTTAATGCACCATTAACCAAGAAGACCTGGGGATGAGGTTGAGTTGTTTTGGTTGTGAACTTGAAAAATGGCGGACATTTCACTTGTTTCAAGAGAAAGAACTAGGCAAAAAAATAGCTAAAAACATGACAAGAACAGCAAGAAGACAACTTGAAGGGCGACATCTGCTATTTGAAGAATATTTGCGGAGCTGAACGACCCTAAACGTGCACTATCAAAGGTGAACATAACATCGATGTAGGTAAGCATGTTTTAGCCATGTTTTTAAACTGGGAATTATTTTGAATGAATAATAAAACAATTATTCAATTTGGCTTTCGTATCATATGAAAAATTATGGAGATCTCAGGAGTGTTATCTGCCTGGGCTGTCCTACGGCCTCAACGCATAACACCCTCCAAGATCTCCATAATTCTTCATAAGATACTCAGCCTCATTCATTAATTGTTAAATAATTGCCAGCTGGACAGGGCTGAATAACGTACTACGCATGTCTGTGACATCACTTGTTTACTTGTCTAGCCCGTGCACAAAGCATTCGTGCAAAGTGAAATTCTTTCATCTGAGACTATTATTTTTATCTTTGACCATCTGTTATCATATTTGTGAATGCCAATGAGGGAGAAATTCTACAAATACGTTAGAAATGCAACTCATGGAAAGAAATGCTACGTAATCCAGGACCAAGGAAAACGTACTTAATGTGATTTTTGCATTTTTGTCAGGTTATCACCATCTTTGCATTTGCAACAGTAGCAGGCGCTCTTGGTCATTTAGAGTTTTCGGTCAAATGCAGTGGTGGCAATCCACCATCACGTCGAGTCAAAGCAGATTTCTCTTACCCATTTAACAGTATGCGTGTATATGCGTCAAGTAAGACGAGTTGTACAAATGAGACAGGATTTGCCACCAAAGAAACATTGCCCCTCAGTTACAAATCTGAAGCAGAGTACTTTGTCTTCACTGGTGTGGTCTCCATGATCTTTGTGCTAGTTGCAGCAACTTATTATCTGTTTTTTGAAGACCGCGCCAAGGATGCAACCGCAACTGATATTGGTTTGCTTTCGTTCCCAGTTGTGGTGAGAATTTTTTTGTTGTTGTTGTTGTTTTCCTACGTGGGAGCGAGGAGTGCTCTTCTTGATAAATGACTCTGATACTTCTCATAACGTTTTGACAGGATGTAAAGAAAGTCAGTTTTACAGCTTGCCATTCCGGCAAACTGAAGCTAGCATTTACTAGCCCAAATGTTATTTCAACTATCCCCGAAAACCTTTTGATGAGCAGAATTGATCTCACAGTTCTTCTCCCAAAATTTGAATTCTTCAAAAAACTTCACTTGCCCATAGCACAAGTTAAGAACAGAGTTATACAGTAGCTTGATGATAAAATTTGGGCTATCAGACACTAAATTTCTTTACACACTGTTTTGAGTGTAAAATTTGTAGGATTGGTACGACTTGGTTGATACTAAAAACTAAAATGATCCTAGTCGAGTTACTGTGGTATGATTTTGAAAAGGATAGGGAACTGTTTGTGCTAGTTGAAAATTTTTAACATATACTGATAAGCATACCCCACCCAATGTTTTTATTGTGGAGTCCTCATTGACGTTTGCTCTTCATTCTTTCCCAAATCAAAAGTCAGTCAAATGGTTTGGCAGAAAAAGTGGCATAGTGAAAATGTGACTCTCAACAGACTTAATGAATAACTTGTAGTTCATTTTTAATCTCTCTCAAACCTGATTGGCCAAACAAACAATAGATTTTGCAACAAACCTATCAAGGCACATACTCAAATCCTGTTACACAGTTGGGGAATCAGGAAAAGGATTTTGGCACTGACTCAGACAGACCTAACGAGAGGTGTAGTCTATTCTGTGGTGCAGTAGTGAATATTACAATAATATTTAGTAAAATTCAGCTAGTGGTCTATTGTCAATGCTGCGTTCTGATTGGTTGAGCTACTACTAGGCTATATGTTATAGCCCACTAGTAGCGAAAAGTGCGGGCTTTTTGGCGGCAAAAAAGGATTAAAGTCTAGCTATAACTAGCAAAATTTCTTTATTCTTGATATTTTTGACCAACTAGTTGGATTTTACTAAAACAATTATTCCTCTCACCCTCATGGCCTATGAGTTAATAGCCCATTCGGCCTTCAGCCTCATGGGCTATTGACTCAGAGCCCATTCGGGCTCGAGGAATAATTGTTAAAGAGCTAGTTGTTGTAGCCCTGGAACTGCAAAGAAGAGTAGCTGCTTAACTCATGTGTAACTTAAGGTATGGTAACATGAGCAACAAAAGCATGCAACTTGTTTTGCAACATGGCTGCAAAAATGTGTTGAAGAGCGATGTTATGCATTTTACCACCCACATTCAAACCTGTCTTGTAACAAGTAAAGATACTGCAAGTAGTGTGAATACAGGCTTCTGATTGGATAGAACTATGTGGGAATCGGGCCATAATCATGAGTAACTTACGTCACTTGCTGCAAGACAAGTTTGTCTTGGGCCGAGGTAAAACACACAACATTTACAGATTTTGTTGCAAAAAGTAGAACTATTCTCTACTTTCCGCAATAACTTTTCGCAAGCTGCAACGACCTGATTTGTTGCAAGACAGGTTTGAATTTGAGTAGTAAAACATGCAACATCGCTTTTTAATTCATTTTGCAGTAATGTCGCCAAACAAATTGCACGATTTTGTTGCCTGTTTTACCGTACCTTTACTAAAGGTGACTTTTGCCTACAGACTATTCTTTTACCAAGAAGCTGCAGGCTAAGCCCTCTAACTTTGGGTAACAAAAACCCTTTTTCTTTGTCTATAACTTAATCAGTTAAATTCCTATCAGTTGTGAACTTTTTACCTTCCCTCTTATTATGTTTCTTAGGTTGCTTATCAAAAGTCAGAACTTGCTAGCCAGACCAATCATTTTGAATTAGAAATAACTTAAATGTGGCTAAATATAATTTAGGCGAGGTTAAACACAAGATAATGCTGGCCAGTGGTCCAAAAATGAGCATTTCGGGGCAAATTGTCTCTGAGATCGTAGCCCAGTTATGCTTAGAAAACTCCATACAAACCTTTTTAAATTTTTTTGGGTCGACCCCAAAAAAATTAGAAGGATTTGGATGGAGTTTTTTGAGTATAACCGGCTAACATCTCAGAGACAATTTGCCCAGAAATGCTCATTTTTGGCAAGTAGGCCTCTTGGACATTGTTCTTTCAGAATAATATCCTTACAAATTCCATAATTTCAGAAATGTCATTTTTATGACATCATCACTTTAACCCTGTTTTCTGTTATTTCTCGATTTAGGATTTTGTTTTCACCATTGTACTTGTGATCTTCTGGTTCACCAGTTCTATTGCTTGGGCCTCTGGTTTGTCTGGCCTGAAAAAGGCTACCAGTGAAGACGCTATTTTTAAAGCCTATAAGCCATGTCATGCCGATTATCCATATACTAATGGTTGCAGCTCATTTGATGGTGCTAGGTATGGTGCTGCTACAGTTGCAGTGGTAGGTGATCACCTTTAAATCAGGACTTGAAAAAAGCCCCATTGGTTGTCTGGGACAAGTAGATTTTCTTGCTGGGACAAGTAACTTTTAAAGTTCACTTGTCCAGTGGGGAAGGGTCCAGGCAGGTCATCCTCTAACAAAATCATCAACTAGGATTAGTAAGAAGTAGGGTTTGAGCCAGGATTTGACTGCTGGGGGACAATAAAATTTGTCCCCTTGGCTAAAATTTTGGGGGACATTTTCATTTTTAGGGGGACAGAAAAATTAATTTTTATTCAACAATATTTAATTTTTTTACTTTCGTACAGGCAAGCTAACAAAAACATTTTTTTTTTACCTGATCCTTGTAATACAAGCTAAGTGATACAAACAAGAAAAGTTAAGTTTTTGGTGTCAAGACTTTTTTTTTCTCATCATATTTAAACAGAGGATCGATGCTTTATACTTCAAAACATTTCACAGCAGAATCTCGTCCTGGCAACCTCTTGTAAACTTCAATTCCTTTCTTAATTACTGGTAGACATACACCTCCTTTTCATCGCGTCACCATGTGTGATCTCGCAACCAAGTTTTCTGGAAAGTTTGTGACTTTTTCGGTTTTCTTCGATCCTCATCCATTTCTTCCTGATTAATACACTGTTCCTCTTCTGTATCATTTTTCTCTGATCTACTTTGGCTTCGATTTGGGGCAAAAAGCTTTCTATTGTTCGAAAACGTTATCGATGTGACATGTTGAAGATCGCCAGGTGCGTTCACTGTGCTTGGTTGAGCATTAGACGTACGTGTTCAGTAGAGCGTGACTGAAACGTGACTTTAGAATGAACTTTAAACGTGCAATAAAATATACTTTTCACATTCTGGTTTAGCTTGCAATTTTTGTACTGAGCTAAATCTCTTCATGTGTGCTTTCCTGGCCTGGCTCAAACCCTGCACACGGCAATCAGGTCAAACCAAACTCATGTTGAGAAGGAAGCCATGTCCCTTTCCTGTGTATTGTATTTGTGCTTTTCTTTTTTGCTGTTTCACTTTCATCCCATTTTTGTGCTGTTTGTCACCATTTCAGCTGTATTATTTCACTGTTTCAAGGCAGGGGGTACTCCGGATTTCAAGTGACAGGGATGATCAATGAATTTTTTTAGGTTTGAAATTTTCGATTTCGGGATTTTTTGGGGTAAGAAAGTGTTGGCAAGTATTTTTTGGGGTAGCTTGATTGAAGTAGGGATTTTTGTGAGTATTTAAACAATCTGAAGTTTTATGTAACAGCGTAGTTGCCGTGTACACCTGACCGTGTAGTTTCTTGAATAAAGTAAAACAAAACTTGTGTTGTGGCTGCTTCTGCTTTCTGGAAATATTTTTGGCTTGGAAATTTGGCATGGGATTTTTGGGGGGTTACATTTTGGTCCAAGGATTTTTTGGGTTTGTTTGAAGCCGTAGAGATTTTTTTTGTTTTTCAGTTTTGTTCCCATTCGATCATCCCTGTCACTTGAAATCTGGAGTACCCCCCGCCCCCCCACCCCTCTGGGGTTTCCAGGCCATGTCATGTGTCAAAATTTTACCCTTATAATAGTCACATCAAGTTAAGGGTAACGATTTAAACTCTGAGTGTTATCTTTTAGGTGTTTGGATTTCTCAACTTCTTTGTCTGGGCTGGAAATCTTTGGTTCTTGTTCAAAGAAACCCCGTGGCACAGCCCCAAGAGTTCTGGAGTAAGAGGAAATGAAATTCCTCAGGAACCTCCGCATCAGGATACTCCTCCAGCTAATTCAGTCTGAACAAATGGTGAGGATTTCATTCACTAAGTCAAAAGTTAAAATCACCTTGTACAGCATTATAAACAGTACCACAGGAAAGTACTGCTTAGTAGTTTTCCTTTGAATTGTCGCACTTTAGGATTTCATCCTCAGACTCAAAAGTTAAAACCACCTTGTACAGCTTAATAAACAATACCACAGGAAAGTACTGCTCAGTGGCTTTCACTTGAATAGTCACACTTTAGGATTTCATTCATAGATTCAGAAGTTAGAACCACCTGGTAGAGCTTAATAAACAGTACCACAGGAAAGTACTGCCCAGTAGCTTTCATTTGAATAGTTGCACTTTAGAATTTCATCCACAGACTCAAAAGTTTGAACCACCTTGTACAGCATAATAAACAGTACCACAGGAAAGTACTGCTCTGTAGCTTTCATTTGAATAGTCACACTTTGTGATGCAGTATCAAAAGGTCCAACCACATTGAATGAGTTACAAACTGTTCTTGTTCAGTGATCCTTCACTGACTTATGTACCCTTTGGATTTCTACAGGTCCAGCATTGTTTTGGATGGCCACAACAATAATTTACTGCTTTGATATGGAACACATGTAACTGTTAATTAATCTGGGGTTCTGTATAAAATGTTAAGCGCAATACAGGCTTTTGTGAATTTTGTGTTATTCTTGTACCAATAGGCCATTTTTGAGTTCTTCAAAGCAGGGCTTCACGCAAAACCTTTCTTGTGAAAATGAGTTTTAAGTGCATGGGAATAAAAAATTATTCTCATTTCAATGGTTGTGCACTTACCAGTAGCCTCGCTTTGAGGCAGAGGCTTGGAGCAGCTCGGAAATGGCCTTTTTGCTATTTGAGAGGCAGTGCTCATTGCAACTTGCAACTCAGCTGGTCCAAGAAAAATGCTGTTATCATGCATGTGAGAATTATCCAGTTAAAAGATGGTGAGTTGAGCCTTTTCTCGAATATTTGAGCAATGATATTTTTCAGAGAAAAGCTCAACCCATCTAGTAATATTGCTCTTTCATGAAACATACGGTAAACCTTTCTAATATTAGCAAAAAAATATTTGTCTTCTCTACATACAGCCTATTTAATAATTTAGTCAGTGAAAAAATTTTTTAACCTTACTTCTCTATCTGTGACAGGCAAAGAGTTTTGTAAAAGAAAAAACACGTTTGTGATGTACGTAAGTTTTAATAGCGTGTAAAACATTACCTGTTTAACAATGCCTCCTAGATCTTAACCATTTGGTGATAAATATTTTTTTGTGTGTTCTTAGATTCCAAGTCAGTATATGGCAGTTCGAAACCCAACACTAGAATTAAAAGCTTTTCAGTATTATTGAATTGTTATACTACGAATGTTTGATTTTTTCTGCAGAATACTGCCTTGTAATTTTATTCCTCTTAAACTTATTAGCTGTAGTTTTTGAGGAAAGGTTGGGAGAAGGAGTCGTGATGCATCTAAAGGGATTAACTCCAATAACTGGAGTTATAAACAAGCCCTAGGATTTCACATTAACCATCGTTTCTGGTACCGTGTCGTTACCGTGGTCTTAAAATAACGGAACCGAAAAATAGTTTCCCAGTGACATTTTCAGCCTTAAAGACCAATTTACAGAAAATCACTATTTTTCCACTCAGATTCTTAACTAGTAGTGCAATTCTTTAGATATGACTCGGCTTAAATACGAAAGTAAAACATTGTTTACCATCCTTCAGTTTGCTGTTGTCTGCCAACTTGAATCGTTCCCAAGTGCACTGCACGTTACTGGCTTATGGCTTCCAGTAGCAAGAAAAAAACATATGATCACAAAAAATTGAAAACATTTAGGAGGTGGGTTGCCATGAATTTTCACAGAGGGTCATGATCTCTGGCCACGGGACCGGAAAACTGTTTTCCATGCGAGTGAAATCCTAGAGCTTGTATAGAAATAACGTAATTGCAAAAAACTGAAAAAGACTTAGCACCGTACAAAAAGTTTTGCTAACACGTTTCATTTGAAATGGCATACTTTTAGATTTCATCCAGAATTTCAGACGTTAGAGCTACATGTTTCGACGAGTTGTCGTAATATTTGTTTTCTCTGTCAGTGAGAGTTAAACTAGTAGGTTTCGCACTGGAGAATTTTTTTGCCAGTAGGCAGGGGTCCCAGGGGAGAATTTGTAGATGTGTGTCGTATTTCTAATTCCTGGGGTCCCTCCACAGTTTCTCCTTATATGGCAATTTAGAAATCTACAATAGAATTTAGCTTTACATTATAGTATAATCGAACTCTGTGCATGGGACATTTGATTCTGAACTTAGGGGATTGTATTGACTTACATACTGTGATTATAGCTTTATGTTCAGTTTTCAGTTCTCCCTTATAATCGTTTATACCCATAGATCAGCATCTTTTTAGTATCACTGGTGTATTAGACCTAAAGGTAATGAGAATAAAGAAAATGATCACCAAAGATGAAATACCGGTATTCTTGATTTGGAGACTAATTCTCTCCACTACCAACATAAAAGATGCAGAGCTTGTATAGTAAGAGTATAAAGACCAAAATTCAGCAAGGACACCAAACTCCGGAATTTGGCCACTACCTTACAATACGCATGGAACAGCCATATAACCCCGGCGATGGCAGTGGGAGATGTGCTGCTTGCGTTGTAGAAAGGAGAAGTGTGACGTCACGTTACCATGGTAGCAAAATTTCTGGATCACAACAAAAGGAGCTTAAGCGACGGCGACGGTAACGAGTAAGGACTTAAAAAAGCAATAGGTTTACTCTAGCAAAACAATACGTAGTCTGCTACACAGCCGTTTTTAGTGTCGTCACGCAACTCTCCTCCCCACTAGTGTGGAGGAGCATTGCGTGACGACACTAAAAGCGGCTGTGTAACAGACTAAACAATACGCGCCTCACGCTTTTTTGAACATTTCTTATTCCTGCGCCAGGAAACCTCCTAACTGCACGCGCCCGCCTTATGGAGTAGGTGAACAAATTTCCTCTTTTTTTTTTCTTAGATACGGTTCATAAACCCGATGCATGTTCTTCTCGCGCTGAAGGCGGTTACATTTTATTCCCGGTTGCACGTTTTTCTAAATCTAAATCTAATCCGCCATTCACGCCAACTCAACATGTTTATTATTAAATAAATTAAACTACGTTAACAAAAAGAGAAAAACAGTAATGGAAAACTTAAAACCCAGGCTTTTACACAGAATTCGAAAGAACTTAAACATGTTGCATAATTGTACAAAAATTTGCCATCAATTAAATTGTAGTAAACAGCTCTCATAAAGAAAACAAATGTAAACCGTGTTTATGAACTAAACAGCTTTAAAACATGTTAAATTAAGCTTTGGTGTGAATGGGGCCTAATCGCGCTGAAAGCCGTTTCATTTCACGATTCCCGCGCTTAAGCCGGTTGCATCTTCTTCTCGCGCAACCTCGTCCCCAGGGGTCCCTTTTGTCATGCGATCCACGTCGCTGACCAAAAGGATCGCGGCCTCTGGGAACGAGATTGCTTCTCACGCTGGAACTCCAGCTGTTGCACATGCGTTGTTGAGGTATATTTTATTCCCGCGCTTGAGCTGGTTGCTCGTAATTGTTTTCCGTGAATCCGCCCTTAAACCCGCTGTATGGTTTTATTGCGTTGTATTGAATCAAATCACAATGTTTGAAGTAGTTGCATGCTTTTCATGAACATTAAGTCTGTGCCCTCTGTGCATGCGCACGAGCCCGCACTCGATTCACACGTTTAACCATGGTTCCCTAATATTCAATTTTCTACTGTTTCCCTCTCATCTCTCTGAACGAATTAAAAAATGGAGACACATCACGGAAATTTCCGTGTCATTGTTCCGGTGTATGGAGAAGCCATAAACTAAGTGATGTATGCGTTTACAAATTTAACTTAACACGCGCGTTGGGCAGAGCTTGAATGAACGAATTAAAAAATGGAGACACATCACGGAAATTTCCGTGTCATTGTTCCGGTGTATGGAGAAGCCATAAACTAAGTGATGTATGCGTTTACAAATTTAACTTAACACGCGCGTTGGGCAGAGCTTGAAGTGTACTTACAGAAGTTACGAAACAAACCATGTATGACGTCATAACAAGAATTATTAAGACGAATCAGATTCAGGTTGATTTTAAAAATTAAAGCGCATCGTTAAAACGGTAAATTCAGGAAAGGACTGACAATTGATTTAAGCTGTATTTAAGCAGGGAAATGTAGTGATCTTTCACAAGGTATGGTATGATTTTTAATGTGCTTGGCCCATGAAATTTGATTTTTTTTTATATATATTTTACATACTTGTGTCATCTTTCTTCTTGAAATCCCTGAAAACCGACTGCCATCGGGAAAAGATCTTTCTCGTCAACTTTTTGGCAAAAAACTGAAAATATGAAGACTAAATCCTTTATTTACTTTATCTTTCTTTTTTGCTTGTTTACGTAATCACCGTTCAGACTTTCGCAACATTAGTGAGGTTAAAGGTATTTTTTACTGCATTATTTTTACTTTACGTTCAAGCTGTTATTTTTTTCTTACTGTGAAGAAATTTTCAAAGTTATTTGGTTATTGACATATTCTCGCAATTAAACGGATTACCATATGTTTACACGGGTGGGTGATCTTAAAGTTCTTTGGAAAAAAATGAAAATTAGCTAGCGGTTGTCCACGTTCAACCATGAATTTGTCATTTGACGTCGTTGTCTTTAGTTCATCAATATCAGAGAGTTAAATGTCTGAAAACGTAAAAACTGAACTCAGTGTTTTTTGAATGTTCGCAAGATTTCCTGCGCGTGCGCGTGGCAAGCACTCGGCAGGCGTTGTCGCAGCAAATTCTAGTTTTTATTGGCAGACAACTTTATACCGAGTTGGACCTTGTATAAATCGGCACATGATAATACTGTATAGTTGTCTAGTCAACATTTGACGATTTTTTTTTTTACGTAGACTGGAATGAAATAATTGAGCTGCTAGTTGAATTTGGTAGGACTGTGATTAGCTATAGGCTCCATGCTACTTACTGACTACTGATATCACAGGAATGAATGATTAAAATGATTTGAAGATTCTTTTCAAGAGATCTTAAATTTGACTTGTCGACTAAAACAATTGCATCTGACGGACTGACCATAGATCAGACACTGAAGTTAAACGTAAGGAAAAACTATGTACTGTTGAAACATAGGTATTCTGAGGTTCGTCCGGGAAAAACAACATTCACAGTGATAAGCAAGATCTTAATCATTTTCTCCTTGCTCCCTAATATGTGGTTTTGAACTTTAAAAGAAGAAATATGTTAATTTAATTTTAACAAATAGGCTACGAAAAGATAATTGATTTAGCAACCGTAGGGAATCGTTAGACTATACGCAGTGGAAATTTGCATAAAATCTATCAAGTTAAAAAAATATAAAAGTTTTACTTTATTTGACGACCGTTTAAAGGAAAACGACGTCTTCAATGATAAAAACTTGGTAAGTAGAAATTAAGGGTGCTATGCTGGTCTTGATATGTGATCGAGATCTCAATTTCATACCGAATCTTTTTTCAAGAGACGAATTGAAATCAGCGCAGTCGAGAATTCCTTTTGTTAATTTACGCTTCGGAGACGTACCAGGAAATTTTCAGTTGTATTTCGGTTAAGATATCTATCCCCTGATAGAATAGTATAGTATATCTTTATTGCGCCTTAATCTCCAAAGAGCCCGGTCTGGTTACAATAAAAGTTTTATCTTTTACTATAAGAACTTATATTGAAATAAAACCGAAAATCAACAATAACAACAAAATTAAAATAAATATACCATTGTGATAATGATAAAAATAAACAATTACATTGCCGGAATGAATTCAAGAGCTGGTTCCCTTTTTGAAACATTAGTTGGATACATTTTACTATGATTTGAAAGGTATTATCGTCATTTAACTGGAGAAGATAAATGTTTTTTGTTTTCACGTTCTGTTAGCTGGAAAAGTAAGCATCATTTTTGAGATAAAAAAATTAATTTCTTGCCTAACATCGTCATATTCTCCGCCGTGTGTAAGGAAGTGTTGTTCGTCTTCTAAACAGTTTCTTTTGCAAACCAAGTATTTCCTTTCGCCTACTTATCGAAGCAGTTCTCGTTTAGGGTCGAAGGGAACGTGGCCGAGTTTGAAAGCCGCATTACCTGGTATAGCGTATAGTGTTAAAAAATGCAAGACCACTTAGATAAGGTAGCTTGTTGCGAAGAATGGGGTAGAGGATGCGGGAACAAGCTAGATCAAGAACTAGATCTCTGATTTCAGAATCAGTGACGTTAGTGATCTCGGACGAAATAGAAGGCAGATCACTCTTTACGGNCGTATAGTGTTAAAAAATGCAAGACCACTTAGATAAGGTAGCTTGTTGCGAAGAATGGGGTAGAGGATGCGGGAACAAGCTAGATCAAGAACTAGATCTCTGATTTCAGAATCAGTGACGTTAGTGATCTCGGACGAAATAGAAGGCAGATCACTCTTTACGGCCTAACGTTTTTTACAGACAGCCCCTGATTAAAGTTAATGGTAGTTCTATGGGAGCAGAGAAAGTGCTTTCATGGTGATGGGGACATTTTTTGTAGAGAAAATTATACGGTTTATCCCAATTACATCTGAAAAAAATGAACCTCGGAATTAGTGCCTCGAAATTCCTCGGAAACATCCGAGGTCACCACAGCAGTTAACCTCTCCTGCCATTATTCAAAAAATGGGTTACTGAAACGAACCTCTCTTGATACGGTGTAATATTCAGTCACTAATAACCAACAGCACGATGTTTTATTTCTACTTTTTTGCTATCTTTTTTTTATTATTTTCTCATTCAGTTCAGAGCAGTTTTGACATCTTTCTGACCGATGCAACATGTTTTAGTCCGATTTCCGTCTGGTCTCATCTCTCGCAGAGTTCACTGGGTTCCGCCGCTAGAATCTAGCCCCCACGAGCTCCGAATTAACTTGGTAAGTCACCGCCTTTTGGTCTCTGTGAGTAGTAGAAGAAGCTTACTGTTCCTTGATGTATTCACTTATGCATCAGTCAATTCCAGCTCCCCGTCCCGGGCTGACCCCCGGGCATTAGCATTTTTTTTGCCTTGGATGGCAAATTCCCGGGAGTGGGGACCCTTGAGCTGTCAAATCGCCCGCGGTGGGACGAAAAAGAGGGCAAATGCCCCGTCCTCCGTCAACACTGCAACATTTTTCATTGATGGCACAGTCGAGTAGTGCCATTTTAAGCATTTTAATGTGCAATTTTTTGTTTCAATTAACGTCTTCCTTTGTGATAGCGCTATTCTAATTAAGACTTCACGCCGTGACGACACCAGTTTATGATTTTAGTATAGTTACAAAATTATTGACATTAAAATTAATAGTGCCCTGTAAAGTTTACTGCTATGAATAGTTTTATAAATATGAAAGGATGTTCTTCGAATAATATCAAGGGAAACTTGATTCAATAACCAAAACAACGTGGATTCACCTCTGATAGCTTCCGAGTTCCGCAATGTAATTCTGGCTTGATAAGCAATGAAGAAGTGCATGCATAAAATCGAGAACATGCCTTTACAAACCTCTTCAATTTGTCCCCGTCCTTGACAAATGAGCAGATCTGCTTGTTTTTTCCACTAAAATCCTCTGTGTAGTTATGCTGATAGGAAACCGCGTGCGTGTTAAAAGCTCGGGTTTGGCCCCGGGGCTGGCAAATGCCCGCCCCCCGGGCAGCGCAAAATTTGCTAATGCCTCACCCCCGGGACTGACAAAGCGGGCAAATGCCCCGCATATCCCCGGGGGGCGGGCGCAGCTGAAATTGACTGATGCATTAGCAGAAGAGATTTAACTTTTGTTTTTTTTTTATGGTTACTTTTTCTAATATTTTCAACCTAACACGGCTAATATTCGACGTAAATATCCAGACAGAACTAAAATGGCCCTGCGAACAGAGTTTCCTTTAATCTTCCTCATCTAGGAAAGATAGAAGCGACACTGCTAGCGGGGTAAACTAAAATCTGATTACAAATACAAGTTTTCAAATTCAAATTGATGTCGAGTAAAGAGTTATTTTTTGTATCTCCACTGAAAATCTTGTAATTTAAAGGAAAAATATTCGTTTCTTGCCGAAATTTAACTTTTAAAATACCCTTTACAGCTGCTTTTACTTCTTTGCACCTTTCCGTCGAAGTTTATTTTACACTAAACCTGTTTTAAACCACAAACGGGTACGCTTGATTGCGGGCATGAGTGAAAATACCACAAAAACAAAGACTTAACAACAGCAAACGCCAGGTTTCTTTGTTAATTTTTAGCACAATTGGTCAAATGTAATTGATTATGCTTCTTTTCATAAAATAATCAAATTTAAACTGCTCGGCGTCATCGCGGCATTTTGGAAATTTTGGGGGTATGATTTTACTTCTATTTTCTATTTTTTCTAATTAGGTTATTGACGTTTAAAGATACGTCAACTTTGGATTCCAGTAATCCTTGTTCGCTTGTTTAAGATTTTTAATGGATCTTAAGTAAATATAACTTAGTTTGTTTGAGAATTGAAAAACAAAGGAACTCAATTAAAAAAAGAGTTGGGAGGCCTCCCACAGCGATTTGGGGTCTTCACATCTGTTGCCATGGAGATAAGTTCCAAAATGGCGTTCGACGAATGTTGATGACAGAGGTGGAGGGGTTGTTCCTCCTAAAACATGGATATGTTAGATTATTGCAAGACTTATAACATGGTAAAAAGTAGTTATGGAAACCAAGAATCTACTGATCTAACTTCACAGGAGAATGTTTGTCCGGCTAGTCCACAGAAAAATCATGAAAACAATGTGGATGAAACCGCAGTGGAATCAGTGCAAAGTTTATCAACAAAGCCTGGGGATTGGTCTCTGTATCGATCAGCCACGCAAGTTAACAAAGACCTGAACGAACCTAACGAAAAGAAACTTAGCCCTTTAAAGGACGTAGCGAGAAGTAAGGGTATGATTTCGACGTTAAACACAAGAACACATCAAAGAGCGAGCTTCGAGTGCGAGTTGACTTTTGCTCCGAAACTTAACGCCATGAGTATCAAACTCGCGAAGGAACGAGGAGAGAGAATTCGCACGGGATCTGAGAAACGAGTTGCCAGTTCGACAGACGAATTTACTTTTAAACCCAAAGTGAGCTCGAACAGTGTAAAAATAATGCAGCAGCTGAAAACGACCTTCATGGATCGGCAACAAATGCATGTGGAAAAACAAAAGCGATATGTGAGTAAACTGTTTGCTTCTTCCTAATTAAGAATTGTAATTCATTGCCTTTTAGTTTTAATTAGCACAAGTTGGTGGTGGATAATATTGTACACTTTTGAATGAATTTTAAGTACATGCATCTATTTTTCGCAATTTTTTTTTTATTTCGCTTGATTGTATATAGTCCTCTGAAATATACATAAACTCATGTTAAATGAAACGCACGTTTTTCAGAACACGCGTACGTTCATCTGTTAAATGTTGTTGGTTACATGCAGAGAATCATCAGTGCTGCAGTAACTATGCTTATTTGTTTAAGTGAAAGTGGTGTTTTAATTGGCCTGTATGTATCCCTTCTCTTGGGTGGTATATTATCTGAAAATCGCAGTTTTGCACTTTGTTTTAAATATTTTAATTAACTTCAATATTATAGTATTCCATTTTCCCTTACTGATATGAGCAAATGCTCATGATACCATTATATTGGAGCTTTAATCTAAGTTAAAAATGAAGAAAGAATTGTGGCAAAAAAAGTAGACAGGCAGATTGTCAGTATCACTATCACCAACATGTTGAATCTTATCTTATGGAAGTCTATCATATTTTCCACCGTGGAAGTTTGATGTTACCCCAGGACCTAATTAGCCTGTACCATACCTCAAATAGTTCAGCTGAATTTTGTTACCCTATATAAACTCAAATCTAAATTCCCAAAATATCTCCCAATTCAACCAAGAGTCAATATTTTCCAGAAATTACTGAGGTTGGCTTAAGCTTTCTTTGCCAATTAAACTGAGATGTGATAATTTGCCTGTCTTATTTTTTGAGTGTTGGTTCTAAAATCTAAAATCTTCAACCAATATGATCAGTTTCCAGGAAAATGATTACCCCGATTATAGACCTAATGTCTCATTTCTATAATCCCTTTCCCATTTTAACTGCTTGAAAACCAATACACTCCACAGCGGCGCAATTACCTGTATATCGCCCGATATATGGCAGTATCCCCTGGGATGTTTCTCCATTCCCCAGATCATTGAATTAACATTAACATTTACTTGTGTTAACAGATTGAAGCAACTATTAATAACTTAAACCAAAGTAAAGGCAAATTTAGTCCTGTGCCAGCTGTTTATAGATCTCCATCAAGGATGAAAAAGATCCCGAAAATCAAAGAACCAAATAACAAAAACAGTGAGGTAAATGAAATATTTTAAAAATAATTTTGTTGCTCTGTTAACTAATACTAAGTTATGAAAGAGATGGTATTCTTTAATGGCCTGGGACTAGTGGAATGGCCAATGGCAAATCCAGTCCAGGAGGTAGGGGATTGGGGAGGAGTTGCAGTCCCCCTGGGTCCCTAGATTTGCTCCTGATGACCCATCAAGCAGGTGTCCTTTTATAGTTGCCTTGTCGTATATGCCAACTTTCCAGATATTTATCCAGATACAGCACTAATCTCTAGTTCTCCTGTACAGCTCACCAGATCTTCTGGATATTGATCGACTTATGAGCTTTTCACTGCTTTTAGTTGGGGATTTATCTATTTTTTCCCAAAAATTCTAAATCTGTTGATTCATAATTTACAACCATAACAGCTAATTTTGATTGGCTGTATATTATGTAAGAGATCATATTACATTTGGAGACAGGATCAAGATTTGATTATCAAGGGGTGGGGGAAGGGGGGGTGGTAATTTACAGAGACAATCTGTCAGATTTTAGTTCCGCAAGAGTTTGGCATCTTTTTTGTAGCACACAGTTTTTTTTAATTGATTTGTTTACTTTATTTACAGGGACCAGAGAGTGTTGCCTCCCCTGACCTACTTGAATCAACTTCTGCCCCAGACTTGACAATGTCTGCATCCAACAAGCCAAGTAACATTCTAAAGAATTCTTCATCATCTTGTGACTTAAAAAGTCCTGTACATGACCAATTAACAGAGAAAAACAATTTAAAGTCATCATCATCTCATGAACTTATCAAGAAGAACAAATCCAATTTAAAAATTTCTGAGAATGCAATAAATAGAGCCAATGCAGCGTACCAGAAAATGCAAGAAACAAGTCCATACAACCAGTCAGTTGAAAATCTGTACTTAAAGAGGGCAAGGCGTGTTTTGAAAGCGCATAAAAGAACTGTTACGCATCCTCCGTCCAAGGCGGGCACAGAGGAGGGTAATGAAATGAACTTGAATGATACATTAAGAGTTGAGAATAACCCAAGCAAACACAAAAATACTCATTCTAGAAGTCATTCACAACCAAGTTCACACCCAGTTGGCAAACTCAAGTACGATGACCCTTTGTTTAGTAAAGTTAGGAATTGTAAAAAGGCTGCGGAAACTGCCATAAAGGTAGGTGATTGTTGGTTTTACAATAATATATACATTTTTAAAATTTTCATTATGCACCTGTTACCAGTATAGAATTAAAGTTATTAAAATTAATACTATAATTCTAAGGATCGAGAGGTGCTTCACTGTATATTCATGTAATTCAATGTGTGGTTCCAAAAACTATCCATATACAGTGTGCCTTCCCCACAGAAGGGATTTTTCCTTAGACCACCCCACCCCTCTGGAAATTCCAGTCAAGCTTCATACATTTACTTAAATTTTTGGGCCTTTGAGAACCCCTCACCCCCAAGGAATTTCCAATCCCTTCCATGGGGGGAGTATGGATTTTTTCTGGGACTACATAATGTGGGAATGATTTGCTCTACCCCTTTGAGGTTTATTGGTTTGAATGCCCCAACTTTTCTGGAAATCTACATTTGGGTTAATACTTTCATGTATCACCTTCCTCATGTTCACACTTTCCTTTTAAGTATTTTTGGGCCTTAATATGGACCCCTCTACCACGGGGCCACTCTGAGGACATTGTTCTGTATGGAGAGGCTCCACTTGAAGGTCACAAACTTCTGGCCCTTTTATAAACCATTTTTAGNTCTAAGGATCGAGAGGTGCTTCACTGTATATTCATGTAATTCAATGTGTGGTTCCAAAAACTATCCATATACAGTGTGCCTTCCCCACAGAAGGGATTTTTCCTTAGACCACCCCACCCCTCTGGAAATTCCAGTCAAGCTTCATACATTTACTTAAATTTTTGGGCCTTTGAGAACCCCTCACCCCCAAGGAATTTCCAATCCCTTCCATGGGGGGAGTATGGATTTTTTCTGGGACTACATAATGTGGGAATGATTTGCTCTACCCCTTTGAGGTTTATTGGTTTGAATGCCCCAACTTTTCTGGAAATCTACATTTGGGTTAATACTTTCATGTATCACCTTCCTCATGTTCACACTTTCCTTTTAAGTATTTTTGGGCCTTAATATGGACCCCTCTACCACGGGGCCACTCTGAGGACATTGTTCTGTATGGAGAGGCTCCACTTGAAGGTCACAAACTTCTGGCCCTTTTATAAACCATTTTTAGCAGAAAATATGCTGTCCTCTTATGTACACCTTTCATTGAAAAATGGTTCCCCATATCCCATATACCTCTTACACCTTAAGTTATATATTCAATTGTCAATTTGTGTATTATAATAAGCATTCAATAAATTAAAATGATACAGCCATTATACCGGAAGCCTGAAAAAGGGCACGTTTTGGGTTAGGGGCACCCAACGAGATAGTTCAAAACCACTTAAACATGGCATTGTTAAACGTATTTTAGTATTTAAATGGTAGATATTGGCATATTTTTATCTCCTAAAAATTTTTCATCCGTTTGGATTTCCTAGCTGAAAGTCTAGTGATTTGAAAGTTATAGGGATCAAAACTTACCTTTTCGAAAATTTCAGCCAGAAAAAAAGATTCCAAAAATTTTAGGTGACCTTGTTAGGGTAAAAATTCTTTAAAAATGCACAATTATACATTTTTTTAGATGTTCGAAAATCATAGGAGAGGCAGGCAAGTAAGAAATTTTACAACAATTATGTTTCAAAAATTCTAGATCTCAAATCTTCTTCCAATTGACATTGGGTGCCCCTGTCAGGTGATACTTGCCTTTGTAAGTCATTGTAGTGAGTATCCCCTCCTGAGACCTGCTTCAACTCAATACATTTACTTTCTTGCAGCAAAAGAAGGTTTTTATTTGCCATGGCCCTTACCCCATAGTACGAGCTGTGCTGAGGAAGCGAGGATGGGTAGAAAAACACTACAAAGGGAACCTTTTACCACCCAAGGACAAGAAAAATGAAAGTGATGGAAGCGATGATGACTCTTGTGGTAGTGGAGATGATTCTGATAATGAAAACTCAGATAGTCACTCACCACGCAACAAAGAGAAAAACACAAAGACCTCTTGTAATCTAGCAGTGTCTAAGTCACAAAGAGGTTCCAAGACAAGAACCATCAATGTAAGCAAGAGTAAGGATGACGATGATGAGGGGGATGGGAGTGGCAGCTGTGATGACAGTGATAATGACAGTGATGACAGTAATGAAGATTGGAATGCGGGATATGAAGGAAATGGCCCTGACTGTGAATTTAGCCTTATGGTAAGTGGAATTTTTGCAAAACTTGGTTAATGTTGCTTTGGTTTTTTGACATGCACAGACTCAGATGAGTCTGTGGTATTGTCCATCTTGAATGAATCTTTACCCTTTTATTTTTTCAGTCCGCTTAAAATCCTGGGTGTACTGAGTGGGACACACCCTGGACCCTTGCCAGCAAGAAAATCTGCTTGTCCCAGACTAGTGAAGAGGACTTTGTTTTGAGCCCTGACCTTTAAGTAACCCCAATAATCCTTACTTCTTGATCCACAAATTAATTTGTCACATGACATAACTAAAAGTTGTTTAAATTCACGTTCACAGTCAAGGTCTGTGCGCAATGCTGTAGCTTCTTTTATCTGGACAACAAAACGTGATGATGTTGACTTCAAGTTCTTAAGAAAGGTAAGATCAGAGTTTTATGGAAAAAAATGGATTGGGTCCCCCAGGTGTAAATTAACTTACAAGCAAAATTATGTAGCAATCCACACCTTCCCACAGAAGGGGGTTCCTTGGAAATTTCAATTTTAATTAGCTTTGTAAATGTCTGAGGCTTTGAGAACACCCTGCTCCTGGAATTTCCAATATTTTTTGCCAGAGGAGTACGGATATTTTCCGGATGTTATTGATTGGATTATAGTCAACAGCTTGAAAATTTCTGTTGCAAATTATGGAGCTTTTTAAATGTTTGAGACTTCGAGAACACCCTGTTCCTGGAATTTCCAATATTTTTGTCAGAGGAGTATGGATATTTTCCGGACGTTATTGATTGGATTATAGTCATTACTCAACAGCTTGAAAATTTCTGTTGCAAATTATGGAGCTTTTTAAATATCTGAGGCTTCGAGAACACCCTGTTCCTGGAATTTCCAATATTTTTGTCAGAAGAGTATGGATATTTTCCGGACTTTATTGATTGGATTATAGTCAACAGCTTGAAAATTTCTATTGCAACTCAGTTATGGGGGCCGTAATCTATAGAAACGGGTGTAGGCTAATGCATTAATATAACTTTTTACAAATAGTATTTCTTATTTCTAGGATCAGATAGTGAATCATTATTGCAAAGCTGGTTCGTTTACTACCAAGGTGAGAATATGCTGTCAGCTTAGAGCACATATTTTTTTAATAATGGTTAGCAGTGAACAACATACTGTATCTGTCATCAGTCAGTGCGCTGCGACATGCACTGCAGTAGTAGATAGTGGCCTCTAATATTGATGATGATTGTTGATGATGTGGAAACGAAACAGTAACATTATGATGTCAATGTTAAGGCTAAAGGCCGCGGGGGACACCTATCTAATGAATAAATTTATTAGACAAAATTTTGCTTTTGCTACAAAAAACAAACGCCTATATCTTGGTTGTTTCAGAAGTGATTCAAATAAACCTTTACTGAGGCATTGTAAAATATGGAAGTTTAGGGTGGTTGTTTTTTTATTAATAGGTAGATCGCGCTTTATGGCAATGCTTTAGGCCACAGTTGTACCAAATTGGGAAATCGTGATTGATTTTGTGTCCAAGTGTGCAGAAAGAATAGAACAGTAAAGGAGACAGCAGTCTGTGATTTTATTAACAAATAGCTGGTCAAAACCGCCAGTGTGTCATGTACAGAGCAGATTTTACAATTTAAAGATTGCCAGCATCACATGTAACCGTTCAAGCAAAATCTGCATCCATGAAATTAACGCCTTATACGATCTTTTTATAAAAGAGCTCGTTTAGAATTCCACTCCATACGTGACAAACTGCGGTCTACTATTAGTTTACCTCTCTTTTGTGCCAGCTCTTGAAGATTTGTATCTGCGCAAAACTCTTGGAAATTGTCGGAAAAGTCAAGTTTTTGACTCTGGAGGGTGTTCCGACTAAAGCACGTGTTCGAAGCAAGATATGTAATTATGGTAATTTAGTTAACCACATTCCACGCTGTAATTTGTATATAAGCAACAATGTTTTCAAGGGTTTTTGAGACAAAAAAAAAACGTACGAAGAGTTTTGGTTTTAAATTTGTTTGAAATTTTCTAATGAGTTCTTTATTTTTATTGATTTAAAAATCACTGAATTAACAAGGCTTACGACCATTCAGGGCCGTTTTTTACTTTTGAATAAATATTTTGTTCACAGTCTCCTTTCCACACGTGCATGTCAGCAATTTAGATTTTGCGCTCACTTTTATCCAGTTATGAATGTCTTGTAAACCTGTCGATATCAGACGTTGTACTTCGTACATACGCTTTAAATAAATGCATAAACATAAGCCCAAGGTGCCCCCGCGACCATAAATTGTGTAATAAAAGATACATGTACTATTTATCATAGTTTCTCTATCAGGGTTCGTACAGGTCATGGAAAACCTGGAAAGTTTTATTTTCGGTCCTTGAAAGTCATGGAAATTTAATTTTTGGTTTGCTACGTTAGTCACTGCAAGTGACAAAGCAAGGACAATGTAAGATAAAGCGGAGTAATTCAACAGCGCGAACGGCACGCATTTTGGTGGACACCAGAGTTTGTGTATGTTGAACTATTTAAGGTCAAACAATACTCTAAAACAAGGAAAGTTTTGAACATTTTTGATAGTGACAGCTGAATTGAAGTCATAGAAAGGCATGGAATTTGAAAAGCTTAAAAGAATACGAACCCTGTCTATGGTTAGGCTCGTTTTCTGTTTGTCTCACAGGCTAACTGGAGCATTTCAGTCCTCACTGTTTGTTCCTCGCCGTTTATGCTTAAAACTGGTCCTTCATTAGTCTACTGTGGTTGAGATACATGTGTTTTGATGGTAAATTACATCTCTGTGTTGTCTGTAGGTTGGTCTCACAACAAACATCAGAAACTTGTGTTGGTATGAAGAGGCAAATCATTTCTCCTTCTTTCCTCGCTCACATCTTCTTGGCTCTGATGATGAGAGGATGGAGTTTATAGGTATGTGATGCATATTTCAGCGATTCCATCTATCGGACTACTAGAAGTGCAAGCAAAGACAAAATACGTGCAATTCACTGCTAGTTGTTTGCGTACTTTTATAAAATAACTAAGATAGTACGCGCGTTCTGATTGGTTAAAAACGTATGGCTCGTAATTTACAAGCTTTTTGAGTGTTCTAAACCTATGGAAACTGTGGTCTACTGCTTATATAGTTTACTCAAAAAACAACAAAATAAAGCGGGTACTTGAAACGCGAAATTTCTCCACGGCTTACACTGGAAGCTGGACACTGGACGTACGTACGAACGATTTTGTCCGAACCAAAATTTCTTGGATGGATTGATAACCCAATTTTCTTGCGCGAAAGCTCCGCTATGCATGACAGTGAATCACACGATTTTCCACACCAGAACAGGACATTGGGGGAGTTGTAACTTTTAACCTTGATATCAGACTTCACGTGGTTTATCTCTACCAAGGAGGTAGTACAAAGTGCCAATTGCCGGGCAAAGCTTTTTGGTGTGGTTATTAGTTTGAATAAAGTTAATCTCCACTGCTTTTCCCCTAAAATTCAGATGACTATCGTCTCACTGCCGCAATTAGCATTTTAAAGTGGGTCACGGAGAGGTATGAGAATGGTAACCATGGTGACAAATTACACCAGAAAGACTCATCAGACCCTCCGAAAACTTCGTCAAGTACGCACCGGAATGTGTCTACCCCACGGAGGTCTGCCACACCCAAGAAGCCCTCTACACCCTCTGCTCCAACAAGATGCTCCTCTCGCCAAAGCAGCTCCAATGTGATACCAGTGAAGGCTTTAACACTCGCTTTGGAAGCATGCCGAGACTTTCTTAGATGCAAAGAACATCTGGATATTGATGATCCGGTTAATAAGGTATTTTTTTAAATATTATTAAAATAAAAATATTATTTAAAAGTTATTTACATGAAGTCAAGAGTATGTCAGGACTCCTATAACGAGTGTAGAATTCAGTACATTGGCGAACTAAAAAGGTTAGTGCCTCCTAACTGGTATTATTTTAAAGTTCTGGACTAGTCCTAAAATAGGAAATGAGCAGATCTCAACTTGGACTGCCTACAAAGACAATTGGGGGTGACAACGCAAATTCAGGGGGGCAGTTTAGCAAAGATAACGGCTTTGTTGAATACTAATACAGTGGAAGCCCGCCTCACGACCACCTCGGTAATACGGTCACCTCGTTATTACGGCCACTTTTTTTGGCCGCCCGGCAGAAACGACCATATATTTCTTGAAAAGAAACCCTCGTTAATACGGTCACTTCGTTATTACGGCCAATGTTTTTTGGCCCATTGTTGACCGTATTAACGGGGTTCCACTGTAAAAACTGTCTAAAAATCATCATCGCAAAGTCCACAGTCACTAAAATATTCAACTAAAAGCTTTCTTAAAAAGATATGTCCTTAGCCTTTTCTTAAAAGGGTCAATAGAAGAGCTTGATTTTATGTAAAAAGGCAAAAAACTCCAAAGTCTTGGTGCGCAAACCGTAAAGGATCTATATCCGTGAGTTCTAAGCTTAAAAGAGGTATAAGATTATATTATTTGTTGAAGCCAAATATTCTGTAGAAACCCAGTGTAATTAATGGCTTTTTTTAGGCACCTGCTCTCACAGAGGATTCATGGAAGCAGCTGGTTGATTACTACTACCAAATCAAATCGTGAGTAAATTTAGAAATATATATACTGCCCACGCAATACTTTTTGTTCACACCTCGATTGATTTGTGAAGACCGACCTTAGAAGGAGAAATGTGTTAAATGAGTTACCCATTGTGCGATCTTATTTTCAGTCATGGCGCTGTGATTGCGACTGCTTACCCCTTTCTCAAAGAGTGCCAGAACACATTAAAACAGGTAAGATTTCTATCAGTCGAGCTGTCAGTTGCTTTCAAATAACAAAAACCCCTCGCGCATCGCATGGAAAGAATTCTCGTTGAGCCAACTAATTCGCTAATCGGAGTCCGCAAAAAAATGTTTTATCTGATTGATAGTCGCGGCTGCCTTCGCAATTCGCTATTTTAACGAAAAGATTGTAAAACAGCCCATAATAAAATGTTTAACAAAACGGTGAGATATTCACTTCCATCCCGGCCATAGGAGGAATGGATGGAGGTGTTACCATTGCCATCAGACACGTATTTCTGCTTATTACTCCACCTCAAAGTTTTTATGCGCATTATGGATTTCTGCTATCTGTGGAAAGAAGCGGCATTCTTAGCACTGCAGAACAGTTTTTGATCAATTCTCAGACGTCGGATAAGGAGGGTCTGAATAGGGGGTACCTCGATAACGCTAAACACTTCATTTTTTGGCTTTGTAACATGAAACAGTTAAATTTTAGGCATTTTAACACTAACAGTATAAAATTCCTTGAAACGGTAAATTTTTTCCAGAAAGAAGCAAAAACGGCTCCAAATAGGCCAATATTATTTTGTTTAGTACATCAAGGAGTTTTTGGCCATCTTACAACAATTCCGGATTTCCGAAGGCTACCGACGATGCTCGAAGACTGTCGAAGATTTCGAAAGACTAACGAAGAGGTCCGACCATTGCCGAAGATGTCCGAAGAACCCTCCAAACACTTAACAGTATTTTCTTCGGAAACAGTAAACATTAAAAAATTGGCCAATTTAACAGCAAACACTAAAAATTATGGGCAAATAAACCCCATTCAGACCCTCGATAAGCGCTATCTTTTAGTTCTAACTCGTATTGATGTGGGTTATTTACAGATGAGAGACCACCTTCCTCAATTGGACATAGATGGAGTGAAGAATATTTGGATCGTGAAACCTGGAGCTAAGTCAAGAGGGAGAGGTAAGAGGACATTAGCACGAAAATGGCGGAAAAATACCTTGAATGAAGAACATAACAGTCAAGAACGTGCCTTTTCCAGTAGTATCAGTGGACCGGTATTAGTACTCACAATCAGCCATTTTGCTTTAGTGCGTGTGGTATCGATGGATTAAACTAACTCAAACTACACGCTGAGATCTCAATTACTGAAGGGAAAGAGGTGTTGAAATTGATTAACTCTTTGATGTGTTTTTGTTTGCTCTGTCTTAAGGAATCATGTGCATGGATCGTCTAGACGACATTGTGAAACTTGTTGGTAGTAATGCTGTGGGAAAGAAGGAAGGCCACTTTGTAGTGCAAAAGTACATAGGTAAAAAAAAAACACAACATACATGTTGAATATATCTTAAATACTCACCCCTTCAGTAAAATGTTCGCTGAAAGGCCGGACTTCATTTCCTCCTTTCTGTTTATTCTGAATGTGGACAAAACCTTTTCATGGATTTTCTTTCAGTGAGACATGAAAAAGCGCAAATAGTGGACACTTTTATATGTTGTAAAACTGACCCTCGTCATGTCCTTTTTACAAAGGTGACACACCCTAGAAACAGGTTTGTCTTACTGAAAATATGAGAGAAGGCAGATAGGAATCTCTGGTGCTCGTGTCGTTCAACGCAAGTGCCATTGGCAATATGACGTAATTTTAGTACTCCGACCAGAATCCTTTAGGGTTTTGCTTTGTTGTGCAAATCAGGGCTTTTGTTATTTAAACCTCTCTGGGATTACCAGATTTAATTATGAAAGGCAAAACGAAAAGGATTCTGGTCGTAGCAGTAAAATGACACCATGGTGCAAATGGTCTGTTGAAGTTAGCTTCTGGTGACATTCTCCTTGAACTGAAACTTTGCCATTTTTGCTAACTGATTCGTGTTACTGGTTTTAACAGAAAAACCGCTGTTGATTTACAACGTGAAATTTGACATCAGGCAGTGGTTTCTTGTGACTGATTGGAATCCACTTACCCTGTGGTTTTATAAGGTAAAGATTGAACAAGCTTCTAA